GTGATGGTAATTCTTGACTCAACTCAACTCAGCTAAGGTTTCCATGGGCGGTACTTAAATTCCATGCAGCCAACTCTGTTGAATGAAGAATATTCTAAGCAATCTGTCTTTGGCAATTGAGATGTGAAAGAGAATTGTCAAGAGCTGTACAAATCCTGTCCTGATAAACCTAAGGAAATGCTGGACAGTTAGCTCATCAGTGAAAAATAATGTGGAAGCGGCAGAGATGTGGTTTTTATAGTCGATTGCTGTGACCACCCTTGGCAGATAGAAGAGCAATGATGATGTCTCGAAGGAAACGACTCACAAGGAGAATTGATTACCCACATCAGACAGGGGCAATCTGCATTACTGGGTTATGTATTGATATAAAGAAAACTAGAGTACATTAAAACAGTGGGAAAATTAGACAGGAAGAGAACAAAATTCATTTTTAAAGGGTCACAAATAGGGCACTTAGGCCTGTCTTACATTCCGCCCTTCCAAACACCTGTCTAACACACAACAGTTGTATTTGATCAATATAGCGTGTTATGTTCACATAACAATATGCATATTATGTATATCAAGAGAAAAAAAAACACATGCATTGATGGTAAAATACACACATACAAACACCCTCTTACACACACATACATATACACACATGCACGCACAAACACACAATACACACATACATACGTACACACATACATACATACATACATGCACACATAAATACATGCATACATGCACACATACATAGTTGCATGCACACATACATAAATGCATGCATACATACATGCACACACACACACACACATGTGTGCGCACGCACATACAATACATACATCCATCCATACGTGCGCACATGAACCGCACACACACACAAATGTGTGCGCACGCACATACAATACATACATCCATCCATACGTGCGCACATGAACTGCACACACACACAAATGTGTGGGCACGCACATACAATACATACATCCATCCATACGCGTGCGCATGAACCGCACACACACAGAGGCAGAGGGAGACAGAGAGTGAGAAGATGCTGGATAGTTTGAAATCATGTCATAGAAGGTCATCTCTGTCAGGGTTATTTAATGTACACGAGACAGAAGGTTGCAGACAGACAGACATGACTACCAAGACCATAACGTATGGAAGGTCATCTCTGTCAGGGTTATTTAATGTACACGAGACAGAAGGTTGCAGACAGACAGACATGACTACCAAGACCATAACGTATGGAAGGTCATCTCTGTCAGGGTTATTTAATGTACACGAGACAGAAGGTTGCAGACAGACAGACATGACTACCAAGACCATAACGTATGGAAGGTCATCTCTGTCAGGGTTATTTAATGTACACGAGACAGAAGGTTGCAGACAGACAGACATGACTACCAAGACCATAACGTATGGAAGGTCATCTCTGTCAGGGTTATTTAATGTACACGAGACAGAAGGTTGCAGACAGACAGACATGACTACCAAGACCATAACGTATGGAAGGTCATCTCTGTCAGGGTTATTTAATGTACACGAGACAGAAGGTTGCAGACAGACAGACATGACTACCAAGACCATAACGTATGGAAGGTCATCTCTGTCAGGGTTATTTAATGTACACGAGACAGAAGGTTGCAGACAGACAGACATGACTACCAAGACCATAACGTATGGAAGGTCATCTCTGTCAGGGTTATTTAATGTACACGAGACAGAAGGTTGCAGACAGACAGACATGACTACCAAGACCATAACGTATGGAAGGTCATCTCTGTCAGGGTTATTTAATGTACACGAGACAGAAGGTTGCAGACAGACAGACATGACTACCAAGACCATAACGTATGGAAGGTCATCTCTGTCAGGGTTATTTAATGTACACGAGACAGAAGGTTGCAGACAGACAGACATGACTACCAAGACCATAACGTATGGAAGGTCATCTCTGTCAGGGTTATTTAATGTACACGAGACAGAAGGTTGCAGACAGACAGACATGACTACCAAGACCATAACGTATGGAAGGTCATCTCTGTCAGGGTTATTTAATGTACACGAGACAGAAGGTTGCAGACAGACAGACATGACTACCAAGACCATAACGTATGGAAGGTCATCTCTGTCAGGGTTATTTAATGTACACGAGACAGAAGGTTGCAGACAGACAGACATGACTACCAAGACCATAACGTATGGAAGGTCATCTCTGTCAGGGTTATTTAATGTACACGAGACAGAAGGTTGCAGACAGACAGACATGACTACCAAGACCATAACGTATGGAAGGTCATCTCTGTCAGGGTTATTTAATGTACACGAGACAGAAGGTTGCAGACAGACAGAAATGACTACCAAGACCATAACGTATGGAAGGTCATCTCTGTCAGGGTTATTTAATGTACACGAGACAGAAGGTTGCAGACAGACAGACATGACTACCAAGACCATAACGTATGGAAGGTCATCTCTGTCAGGGTTATTTAATGTACACGAGACAGAAGGTTGCAGACAGACAGACATGACTACCAAGACCATAACGTATGGAAGGTCATCTCTGTCAGGGTTATCTAATGTACACAAGACAGAAGGTTGCAGATAGACAGACATGACTACCAAGACCATAACGTATGGAAGGTCATCTGTGTCAAAAATGATTGAAAAGTATATGAGACGGTATGTTGTGGATAGACATGACTACCAACGCCACAAGGTATGGAAGATCATCTGTGTCATAACTGATTCAAATTACACAAGACAGAAAGTTGTGGGTAAACATAACTATCAACACCACACAGCATGCACTAGATGAAGAAGGTCCATTGTGGAAACAGCACATAATTATTTATTTATAAGAAATGTTCTTACAAGATTATTGCATGATTGAGAGACTGTTGGCAGCTTCAGCTAGTTAACAGCAGGTTGAACATGGCTGAGTTTTTGAATTTTCTTAAAAGGAATTGGAAATGAAAAAGATAATTGCACTGTCGCTGGTGTTTGTTCCCCATCATCTTCATGTAGAATGTTCTTTACCTAATGTCAGTCTCACCTGGAAAAAAAAAAACTTTGTCTCTTGCCAGCTCTCCTATCTTGTGTACTATCCTATCCAAGATTTTGCTTCTATCTTTGACCTATCTTCATGAAGGTTGGCCCCTGCTACTCTTTCCTGGCACCATGGCTGCTGTTGTTATTTTTTTCCAAATCGCTGTGACGTTTGATGTGGCCAAAATATTACAGCTTCCGAGACAGGATGCTGTTTACTAGGCAATCTTCCTTGATGTTCAGATCTTTTAAGATACCAGTATTTCTTTTCTTCTTGGTCCATGGTATTCTGAGAATCTCTCTGCTTGGTGGTCATATAAAATACCACTTTTTAGTAAACTCCATTTACTTTGGACAGCACTCTATTCCTGTGTAGTACTTAATGTAGCCATTGCTAGTGGTCTACTTATAAATCCTTAGGAAGTTGAACAGAATATCTCAGGTGTGCTATGCTAGATTGTCATCCAGGCTGTGGCTCTTTAAATCACAGGGTTATCAAACCCTTAGGCAGAGGGGACAAGCAGTCAATCAGTGAGTTACCACTTCTTGCCATTAGAAATGTCTGACATTTATATTTAAGCACACACATAACAAAAATGTCAGTTTGTTTTTTCATGTTTATGAAAATGTGAGTTTGTATGTTTGTAAACTGTGTGTTTGTATGTTCAAGAAGCTATGTGTTTGTATGAGCCATGTTAATTTAGCAGAGTTTGTAGAATCATTTTTTTGCAATAAATAATTTTATACCTAACATAATTGTGGGATAAATGTTGTCTAATGGATATTTTCTTGTGATTCTTGATAATAGCATTAGAAATTGGTTATCTCGGCAGCCCTCATACCTTGTGCGGTTTCCTACTTAGATTGTCACTTATACCATGTGCCCATCTTTGTGCTGGTCTGCCTCTACCCTATTTCCTGGTACTATACCTTATGCAATAATTTTTTTTTTCAATTTGCTGGGGCGCTTGATATGGGCGACAAATTTCAGTTTCCAAGACAAGATGCCGTTTACTAGCAAATCTTCCTTGATATTCAGATCTTTTAGGATTTTAGTATTTTCTTTTCTTCTTTGTCCATGGTTTTCTAAGAATATTTCTATCACATTTAAGCTGAGAAACCCCTTTTTTCTTCCTTATGGACTATGATAGTCCTCGACGCACATCAAAATGTTGCTACAGTGAAGGTGTATGCTTTCAAAATTTGACTTTAATTTTCTTGTCTGCCAACTTCTCTTCATGGTCCTATTCTATTTAAATCTCAGGTTTTCCTGTTTTATCCAAAAATGATTTAATACCTGTGGACGGGGGAATTTTCTAAACTCTAGCGATAATCAATAACTTCGCTTTGTCACATTAACCATAAACTGTTAAGGCTGCTTAAATGTTATATCTTGTAATATTTACAGGGTGCAATTTATGTGCAAGTGCCCAATGTGCTGTGATGTCGGCTCTTAAATCAGTTCATTCAACTCGGCTCAGCATGTTGCCAAAACATTTAGAGGGAAAAATACAATGAAAGAAATCACAACAACAATCAACAAATAAAACAACAACATCAAATTCAGGCATTAATTAGTCACCGAACAAAGGAATCATATATAAACAAATGTGATAAACAATCTTGTTTAAATAAATCAGATAAGCAATCTTTTTTTTCTAACAAATAAGATAAACAATCTTTGATCAACAAATGAGATAAACAATCTAATTTTTAAAAAATCAGGCAAACAATCTTTTTTTTTTCAGCAAATGAGGTCATCTTTTTTTTTCAACAACTGAGAAAATATCTTTTTTTTTCAACAAATAAGATAAAAAATTTTTTTTTCCTCAGCAAATTAGAAAAGCAATCTTATTTCAGCAAATTAGATGAACAATCCGTGGTGCGTTGGTTGACAGGAAACAAAATGAACCGTGGAGAAGATTTCTGGAACATAAGGTCCACAAGATAACCATCGACTATCAGATGCCTGTTCTACATGGGAGATTACTCCAAGTACTTTCTGAGATCTGCTGCTCGAATGGTGGTTCAGCTGCCAGGTTGTCACGAACCTGAATCAGAGCAATGGTAATGCAAATGTTAGATGTCCCCATTTACACAGTGTTACACACTAGCTCACTTCTGATTGGTCGACCTTTAGCCTAGCTCACTTCTGATTGGACGACCTTGAGCCACGCCAACTTGCCAGAAGGTTACGGGGGTTTCTCGCAATACTGTTGCTATCACGTGTTGTATATTTCAGCATACCAGCGCTTTTAACACTCCCACAAATTTACAAATTGGGTCTAACACACACACAAAAAAAGAAACCTTTAGAGAGTGATGAAACCTATGACATAGGTATTCTCTTTCTCAGAATAAAACACTTAAGTAAAAGGCAATGCAGAAAGCAAACAACAGAGCCGCACACCCGTAACCTGCAGGATGGTAGATCAGCCCAAAACACTTATGAATGCAGCATGACATGCTTCGTTTGGGAAGACTAACGTGTGTATAACGTATAACCAGAGCAATAATTAACATATAAACAAAACCCTTGACACGTTAGGGTCATGGAAGTGTATCGATAGAAGCACAAGCTCACAAAATCTGGCATCTTTCTGTCCTATTTCTGCTTGTTGAACAGGTGTATAGTAATTTAACCCTGTCCGTTTCTTAATGTTATCATTCCAGGTTTTTCACCCCCAACCCCTTCTTCTTTTACCCCTGAATGTTCCTTGAAGTATAGTCTTTACAATCACATCACGTCTCACCACAGGCCCGAACCAACAAGCTTGTGACATTTCACACGACCGCCAAAAGAAGCTTCTGATCTTCTAAACATTTGTTATGTTCTACTAAATATTGAAGTATTCTTTTAAATGTTTATTCATATCCTTTGTAATATTTCAAATATTATATTATATTTATTTTTATTCACAACCTTATTATTATGCACTAAAACAAGACTTAGACCCATGTTTCTGCTCACACACACAAAAGTGGTAGATGTAACTTTAACTTCTACTCCAGAAGTCGTTACTTGAAGTAATCAATGGTTGAGTCTGTGAAGTTCAAATAGGAGCGCTGCTGCGGAATTTCATATCGGTCCTGGCAACTGTTGGTATCGACAGTAAGAAGACAAAGGAAATGGCGAAAACTGGGCACCTCTTGCGGAGAAGCAGAGATACACCAAACGGGCACAGCAATGGGAAACAAACAGACTCGCCAAACGAGAACTAAGGTGAACGTACATTGTGAGACACGCCAAAGATGCTGGAGTGGATTCTGTCCTCGTTAGTGAAACACATGCACAAGACGGAATGGAGTGGAAAAATAGACTGAGCGCCTTGTGGGACGTACACAGGTACAATCGGATGACGTCAGTGATGATGATGTAATAGGAGTTAAGGTAATGAATGGCGATGGGTGGTTGAATTTAACAGCTGGATGGGTTAAAAAGGGTTCGTGGTACATTATTTTCAATTCCACTCAAAAAAAAAGGAAATCCATGAGTTTCCGGGAGATAAGATCTTTGTCAGTCATAACCGCCTTAAAGACATCGACTAACCCTAACTCTAACCCAAAGCACCCCTTGAATACTAGACTTTCCCGGGAACTTTGTGGTTTCCTTTGTTTGGTGTGGATTAAAAATGAAGCAACGATTTCGAAAAAGTCGTTACTCTTTTGTCGTTAATCGAGATTCCATTATTACTGCAGACAGGTCACCCCATAACCGTTCCATTTCTTTACCCGTAGAAATCACACAAAACGTCCTTCACTGTACCGTTTGAAAACTAGTGAGAAACTAGCCATACCCAGAAAAATTTGAAGTTTGCACACGTAAAGTAAAAATGCATTAGGCAGCTGTCAGATGTGCCAAAACTAACATTCCCGCAACATAACTGCAGCTCACTGTTGGCACAAACGGTTACCCATGAAAGGCTTGCACTAAGGTTCGCAGAACTGCATCTAGTCAGTTAAACGAACAAATGTGCGTTAAATGAGTTAAGAGAACCTCCTCACCTTCTCTGCTTCCCTAAAGACCCGGACTAAATTCCGGCCAGCGATCTTCTCCAGATCCGATCCTGAGTAGCCGCGTCGGAGTAATTCAGCGAACAGATCCGGGTATTTGGACACATCTTCTAGTCCAACCGGAAGGCTGAAATTATTTGTAACAAAATCATGTATGTCACTTAAATATATTTTACTGTAGTGAATGAAAAGATTGTACTTGGCACTTGGCACACACACACACACAAACAGTTTACTGCATATCCTTTCTAGAATGCCGCAGACAAACCACAGGATATGTTGGCTGTTTGGCTTTTTTCTGGAGATACCAACGTAACGCAGAATGTGTACCCTTTTTTTTTAATGCCTCGTGTTACTGTTACAGACACGTGGCGCAGAATGTGTACCCTTTTTTTTTAAGCGAGCAACGAGACAAAAACAAGACCCCCCCCCCCCCCCCTACCCCCACCCCTCAAAAAATCCCTGGCTGTTTGCAGTTGTTTTAGGCCATTTTAAGTTCAGCATTTTGACAGAGAGAATTATCAAAGCAATATATATATTTTTTTTTTAAACGTATCCAGAAACCATGAGTTGTAAACCCTTTGGCTCGGTACTATGGATATCGCACCCCTTTGGCCTTGATTCCATTAAGGTACCGTTAATCTGGGAGAAATGGCTTTTTTGCCAGTTGTTCGTCAGGCCGCGAAAGTTAAGTTTAATCAACTTCGCTAGAGAGAGAATTATCAATGCATATATAAACCAATATCCTGATATACGGAAATTAATCTGACCAATTAGTGAGAAAAATACGTGTAAGCGGCGTAGATGTGGTTTTATAGACGAATGATGGCGACATCCACAAAAAAAAAAAGGGTGATGAAAATGTTTTGACAGAAATTGATTGATGAAGAGAACTGATTGCCCCTTTAGTGTTAGTATTATTATTATTAAAAGAATGGCAAATGTTGAATGAAGAATCAATATCCCAGCACTTGTGACATTCCGTTGAAGTCCGTCCCCATTTTCAGTAGCAATCGCAGTTCCCATTCCGATTGCATCAGTAACTGTCTGATTGTATATATCCTCCTCGCCTTTCCCTTGAGCGTTTAGAGTCGGCCAGATTCCCTAGTCACTTCTCTCCGCACCATTCTCCTCAGATAGTGATGGTCTAGTTCACTCGCTCTCAAAGGATCCTTACAGCATCTAAGCTTGTCGACGCTGTCATTATCAAATCCTGCAGAACCAGCCAGTGTACTGCTTGTTCATTTCTCAACACACCAGCATGCCCTGGATAAAATATCCAAACGACACTAGCTACCAGGGCAGCTGATACCATGTTCAGCAGAATGGCAAATAAATAAATATTTAATAACACGTTTGAAATAATACAAAATAAATATTTAATAACACGTTTGATAAATATATATATATATATATACATATATATATATATATATATATATATATATATATATATATATAATATATATATATATATATATATATATATAAGACTGTTGTCTTTAGCACTTACGTTGGCACGCCGTCATAGTCTCCGCCAATGCCGATGAAGTCCACGCCGATTTGATTCTTAATGTGGTCAATGTGATCTGCCGTCAGATATAGAGGTTGGTTTTGTTTTATTGAGCGACCAACGTTCATGAACTTGTCAATGAGCAGTCAACATCACAATATAGTATACACAGATACACAGAGACAAATGGTTACAGAACTGACAGCTATGCCACAGTATTTTTTTTCTAACAGTATGTAAGATATCAACTGACCGCCAAAGGTGGAAAGAGATGATCAGTCAACAGAAACTGGTGACCCAACGACGCGTAGTCGTTACGGGACGATGATGATGATGTAAGATATACATGATTTCAGTAACTCTCTCTCTCTCTCTCTCTCTCTCTCTCTCTCTCTCTCTCTCTCTCTCTCTCTCTCTCTCTCTCTCTCTCTCTCTCATATTCTTTTTCTTTCTTTTTTTTTTTTTCAAGGATCGTATATTCTGAATTGCAACATGAATGGCTGACATCCAATGACTTCAAGAGCCACATTTCGGAAGCGAATTTAAAAGGAACAAATCTGAGACACCCCATTCAACCGCAGGCAACATATAGATTGAGGCATTCTAGAATTACGAACTATTGTCCAGTTTGGGAGGGTTAAGGATTATCTCACGGTAGGGGGCACTACAGCTTACTCTATACAACTTCCCACTTCGAAATACTGCAAGGGAGAATAATGTTAAAAATGGGGTACCCTCAATTCGGACCTAATTCTCCCGATAGCACAGTAAAGAACTCAATGGCGTACCCCTCCCCCTTTTTTTTAAAATCCATCCTCGTCTGGCTCCGAGGCCCCATGGGGGGGGGGGGGGGGAGAGATTGACCCACTACCTACTAACAAGCATGTCGTACAAGGCAAGGAATGAATCTGCTGACATCGAATGCGCTAGACTGAAAAGCGCAGATATCGCAGTCAGGATGTCAACTACAACCCAGCTTGCCAACCGCCATTTTGAAGGCGCACGCAGAAGACAAATAAGAGTTCAGTATTCAGAATCGACATCAACGCACGCGAGACATTCCCATAAACACTCCATCGGCATCTTCAGCAGCCTGCGAAGAGTTCCAACTCTGATGGTGCCAATAACAGTCTGACATTAAGTGCCTCTTGCCTTTCCTCTTAGTGTGGAGTGTCGGCCAGATCCCCTATTCACTTCCCCATTGCACCATTCTTTTCAGTCGGTGATAATATAAGTGTGCCACCGCACTGTTCACTCCCTCCCAAATGGCCTTGACAACATCCACTTGCCAAGCACAAATTTCCCAACAAGTGGTACAGAGCCAGCAAGTCTGTCCGCCTGTTCGTTTCCTAACACACTTTCATTCCTTGGAGAAAATATCCAAAGACAAAGAAGAATGACATAGCATTTCCACTTACCGGCTACCTGCGACAGGGTGGCGTTCTCTGCGCAGCTGACATAATTCGGGTAGAAGTTGATCATGATCACACCACGGTTTGCTTGCTGGCAACAACAGAATCGTTTCGTTTGTTTCAATATACAGGGTCATCGAGAATGATTGCTGGGTTTAAACTCTTAATTTAAAAACAAATATTAAACTGATGTATACGGTCTTAGAATGTTCAGAAAAGTTTAAAGTTTTAAACTCACCTTATTACACTAAATAAAGGAACCATTTTTTGCGCTGGTGATGTCTAGATGGTATTCAATCTTGTGAATAGTGTCTAGAGTTGCATTTTCTATTGCTACAGCGACCCCCTCCCCCCACCCCCAGCGACCCCTCCCCCTCCCCGTTCTCCCTCCCTCTCTCTTTCTCCCTCCCTCTCGTGCGCGCTTATGTGCTTACATTCTCTGCTTTGTATTAAGCCTCACTGTTATACAAATCTCACGGAACTTGAAATCTGAACATTTTAATACGACGTACATGCAAATTTATTGAATACTTCTTAAAAAATAACAGTTTGAAATATGCGCAATTATTCTCTATGCAAGCCTGGGGTATATTATTGTGAAGAAATATTGTATAATTGTATTCATATTCCAGGATTATTAACATTCATGTGATTGTATACAATTAAAAAAACCTGAGGATTGTCAGCTTTCACAGTTACACTTACATTAAACTTAAAAAAAAAAAAAAAACTACGACGCAAATGTTCTAAGTAAAAAAAAAATATACAAACACAAAGACATTAATTAAATAAACAACTAGCTATGAACTGAATGACACTGATAGACCGAATTTGTGGTAGAAGAGACAAAAGCAGACCGAGGGAGAGACTATGTTTGACCTCCTGAAGTGATGGAACTGTGGAATATCACCAGTGAAATTGATTCAAATTACCATGGGCCGAGATATGCCCAGACGATCGGCTCGCTAGCGTAGTTGGCTAAACCGGATTCCGCGGTGACTGGGTGACAAACTCCTTGTGGTCCGGGTTCACTCCCGGGGGTAGGAGCCATATTTTTTCCAGATTTACGGTATTTATCATGGAAGCAAGGCCGAAAGGTTGCGATATCCATAAGGGTTAACAACTTATGGCTTCTGGATACTAAAACAAACAAACAAACAAACATCTGCCCAGACACACGAGGGCTATCGCCGCTGGGCATAGCAAATGATAGTGATGATGATGTTTTGCAGCTCTGTGCGTCCGCACACGTTGCACATGCCAACACGACCCGGACAGACATGTTCACTTTTTGGTAGCGCAATGCTGCTGGTTAAATTTATCACGTGATACCACAGCTGTGTACGCGTGAAAAAACCCCCACAACAGCTCAGACCACTGGGGGCAGGTATACAAAGGAGAACAAAACTTAAGCGTTACCAAACAACGTAAGGTTGCGTATCCTTTAAGGACGTTGCAGAACCAACCCCAGCAGCCCCTAGCTGTTGTGTGGTTTCTCTAGGCACATTTACGTCCAGTAGTTTGCCATTGCTTCCTGAACGGTCGGCCCCCTGATAACACTGTCGAAACCAACGCAAGGCGCATGGCCCGCAGCTGGGATCGAACCCGGCACCCCGAGCATTACAAAGCGTTCGCATCGACTTAGCCACAGAGCCGACAACCAAACATCACAAACAATAAAAACCACTTTAAGTCAGCAAATAAATACCGACTGGATATAACCGACGCTCAGTTAGGGAGCAAGTTGAATGAGTTACGAAGTTTGTCCCCCCCCCCCCCCCCCGAAAAAAATGTGAATTGAATTGAGACTTTTTGGGAGCCCGACCTGCAGGATGACCCAGGATTGAACTGGGTTTCCGGGATTTGTAACTGTTAACTGGTTATTATGTCATCCTTATCATACGAGGGGGAGCTGCGGATTCGAAGGTCGTGAGTTCAGGTCCTGACAAAGTCGAACTTTTTTCAAAAATGACTTTGGCTCCCAGGTCGACCCAGCCTTGAGTGAGTACCGGGTGCAGTCCAGGGAAGTAAAGGCGGTCTAACCCTATATGCCCGAAACACATGGAGGCGTGGAAAAGGGTTCTTTACTTACCGTCGGCGTCTGTGGCTTAGGTGTTGCAATCGAGCTTCGTAATGCCAGGGTTCCGGGTTTGCTCCCAGATGGGAAGGGTTTGCCTTGCGTTGGTTTCGACACGGGTACCGTGAGCTGACCGTTCAGGGAGCAATGGTAAACTACTGAACGTAAAATTTGCCTTAACCCCCCCCCCCCCTCCTCCGCCCCCCTCCCCCCAAAAAAAAATTCTGGGGTTTATTCTGCAACCTTCTGTAAAGAGATACGCAACTAACTTGTTTTAACTTTACTTACCACAAGAGGAAGTACTTCATCCCGGACATTTCTGTCATGGTTGCACACGCTGTAAGCCGAAGAATGACTGAAGATGACCGGTGCCCGGGAGATGACCAGGGCGTCCTTCATGGTGTTGGTGCTGACGTGGGCTAGATCCACCAACATCCCGATCCGGTTCATTTCCTTGACCACTATCTGGTTGGTCAGAGAGATAAAACAACAAAGTGTCAGATAGAATACACAGACAAAACGAAACTTGTAAACACTTCTTGTCTGTTTCTTGAGTCTGGTTGTTGTTCTTTGACTGATCAAGCAGATACAACACGAAACCACCTTTACCCCACTAGGACATCACACAAGCGATAAACACCCGATGACACAAAGTGCCACCATGTGGATGAGCATCACCCGCGGAGAGGTCCCAGAAACCGCGTTCAGCCACTAGAACATATTTATGGCCGGGCTATATTGCGGACCCTGGCAAAAGCCAGAGTAGGGCGTGAGATAACGAAAAATTGCATCCCAAATAGGCATGACAAAGTTTAAAAAACGAAACTTGTTAACACTTCTTGTCTATTTCTTGAGTCAGACTGTTGACCAACAACAAAAACATGGCGAGAACTTCGACGTTTGTGGCTTCGGCGTTGTGAATGCGTTTTGTGGTTCCCACGTGACGGATTCGATCCCAGCTGCGAGCTAGGAACATCCAGGAAAGGCAGTCACACATAATGAAAAGAGACAAACAGAAAAAAAAGTAGCGACATTGGAAATGCATGAAATAAATCAGTATGTCAGTACAAGAACCGAAATATGCTGCTGGAAATCACAAGATGTTCAACAGTGTGATCGCCCAGTGTTGAAAAAAAACAAAAACACGCGCGCGCGCACGCAGGTACGCACACAACACACACTACGAAACAAAGGTGAGTGTTACCATCATCATTGGCAGCTTTCCGTCTTTCCAGACGATAGTGTTATATTGCGCTATGAGGAGGCATGAGACTCATAGCCTATGGCGATGGCGAGTATGACTAGCAAGACCCACCCGTGTCAAGATGTCAAGAAAAGTCTTCCACAATGATAGCATGGGATTTCAGGACCATTGTTAACAACATTTGTGTTTAATCCGTTTCTTTTCAGACGTCCAGCTTTCATCTTTTCTGCAATCATTTCTTCCTTCAGTCTCATTCCCTTCCTGATATGCCCTCCCCCCCCCCCCCCCCCCATGAATCTGCCTAAATACCTGTATCATTCATGTCCCGCTTGCATACATCGTTATAACGTAGTAGAAGTCGGCCTCGAATCTTCTTCCTGTCTTTAATTCACCATAGAGGGTGTCCTTATGGACTCTGCCATCCTCCATTCTCCAGGTGTGACCCGGCCACCTTAGCATTCGTAGACTGAGCATGGAAAAGACTGCTGTAGGACCTGCTCTTTCCAGTACCTCAGTGTTTGTGATTTTGTCCTGCCACTTAATGCCAAGTGTTCTTCTTAGACATCACATGTGAAAGCTATTAAGCCGTCTCTCTTGGTGCAGGTTGGTTGACCAAGTTTCACTGCCATAAAGCAGAGTGCTGAGAACCCAAGCCTGATAGACAAGGGTTTTTGTTTTAATTGTGAGCTTTCCGTTCTCCCAAACTCTCTTTGTCAATCTGCTCATTGTTGTTGCTGCCTTACCTATCCTGATGTTGATTTCTTGGTCCAGCGATAGTTTACTATTCACTGTGGAACCCATTTAGGTAAAATGGTCTACAGTCTCAAGCTCTTCACCGTCAATCTAGACTGTAGGTCTGTCATTAAGACTTTGCACCATAACCGTTGTCTTCTTTTTGCTGACTGTTAGTACAAATTCACAGCACGCATCAGCAAAGGCAGATAGTAAACATTGTAGCTCCTCCTCTGAGGGAGTGGTTATTGCAGCATCATCTGCAAACAGCAGCTCTCTGATAAGTACCTTTCTTATCCTGGTTTTGGCCTTCAGCCTGCGAGCATTGTCAAGGCTGCCGTCAGATCGAGAATGAAAGAAAATACCACCCTCCTGATCTCGAAAGGCATGTGTCAAAAGAAGTGTAAAGTATAATCCAAAGAGGGTAGGAGCAAGTACACACCCCTGCTTCACTCCTTTTTTGATTAAAAATCCTTCCGATGTTTCACCATCAAAGTTGACTGTACCTATCATACCTGTGTGGAACGATTCAGTAATACTCAGTAGAGTAGGTGGACACCCAATATTCTTCAGTGCACTGAACAGACCTTTTCGACTAACCAAATCAAACGCCTTGGTAAAATCAATAAAAGCAGCATACAGTGGTTGATTTTGTTTGCGGCATTTTTCCTGCAACTGACGTAAGGAAAATATCATATCAGTGGTAGATCGGTTCCCACGAAAGCCACACTGGGACTCTGGGTAAACGCGATCCCCCAGGATCTGGAGTCTTCGCAGAACAATTCTCGAGAGCATTTTTCCAACCATACACAGCAGTGATATTCCCCTGTAGTTATTGCAGTCACTCCGATCACCCTTGTTCTTGTACATAGTAATGATGTTTGCATCTTTGAAATCTTGCGAAACCTCTCCCTCTTGCCAGCAGAGTGTTATTAGCTGATCGATGTGTGGGGTTAGAACGTCTTTCCCACTCCTTTCCCTGAAGCCAATTCGTCAATAGCATTTCCAACTTCTACAACTGTTGGAAATGTGTACAGATAGTCAAGAGTTGGTACCGTCTTCATGGCATTAAGAGCACCATCTGCTAGTTTAGTATTAACTGAGCAAAGCTCCAGATAATGTTCTACCCAGAGATGCTTCTTCTTGTCATTAATAATCTCCCCATTCAAATTCTTTAGTGGTGCACTTTTTTAATTGTAGGACCAATGGCCTTCTTGATTCCCTCATACATACCTCTGACATTACCACCACTGCTAGCATTTTGAATGCTGTCACATAACTGGATCCAGAAGTTGTTGGCACACTGCCTAACTACCTTTTGCAAATGATTTCTAGCTGCTCTTAATTCAATGAGAGAGTTTCTTGTTGTTCTTTCATTGTTTCTGAGGAGTATTATCTTTTTGCTGTTAATTAAAGGTTGGAGTGTCTGGCTATTTGCTTCAAACCAGTCCTTACTTCTAATTTCTCTAATCCCATAGACTGATACAACTGTTTTGTAAACAGTCCCCTTAATTGCATCCCATTTTAGGCTTGCTGTAGAGTTATCCTGGATATCAGTGAAAGCATCTTCAAGCTGTTGTTGAAACTCAAAACACTTTTCAGGATCTTTAGTTTTGGAAGTATTTAACCTAGGGATATATTTGTTTTTTGAAGTGAAAATTCTCATTAGTTTCATCCGAACTCTTGCAGCAACTAGGGAATGGTCAGTATCACAGCAAGCAATTTGGTAGCTGCGAGTTAGTGATACACAGTTCAAGTGCTGCCTCCTTGTGTGAATAAGGTCCAGCTGGTGCCAGTGGCCAGATCTTGGATGTTTCCATGACACCTTATGACGGTCTTTAGATTTAAAAAAGGAGTCTGTGATGCACAAGTCACTTCTAGTGCAGAATTCCAGTAGTCTCTGCCCATTTCCATTCATGTGGCCAACATTATATTTTCCAAGACAACTGTCCATGAGTTTGAGTCTGACCCTACCCGAGCATTAAAATCACCAAGTATACAGAAGCTGCCAGATTTAGAAATTGATTTCACTGCGTTATCCAGTTACTCATAAAAAGAGTCCTTTGCGTCTTCTGCTAACATTAGAGTATGTGCATATGCAGTAACAAGGCTAATAAAACCGCTTGAGGTAGACAATCGTAGGGATAACATTCTGTCACTTCCTCCAGTTGGACTCTCAACTGATCCTAACAATGAATTCTTTACTGCAAATCCCACTCCATACATCCTGATTTCTTTCTGGCCTCTGATTTTCCAGAAAAATGTATAGTTATTTTCTCTAATAGACCCATCCTCTGGCAGACGGGTTTCTTGTAGGCCAGCAATATCTATGCCAAGTTTGTTGAGTTCGGCATCAATGATAGCCGTTTTTCTAACATTAATGTTTTCTAGGTCAGCGGAAAACACTGGACACATGGTCCTCACGTTCCAAGAGCTAAGTCGAAGTTTGGGGTTATGTTCCTTTTTTTTTTTTTTTGGCCTGGTGCATTGGTTTTACAGCCTGCAGTTCGGATTTTGTCCTAGCTCCAAGCACCCAATGAAGCATACAAGCTGTGGTGGATCAACACCTTTTTGGCTGGGGGCTGCCCAGCTTAAAGCAGGCGGTAGTTGATCAGTGACATTCGAAGATGTCTCCCACCATGAGGGGCAACCCGTGGCGCCCCTGTCTACGCCAACTGACAAGGACTTATAACCCGTACCTGCTGCCTCTCGATTTGTTTCCGAGACCGATTAAGGCCATGGATGAAGTTCCTCCTCTCCATAGCACAAAGCCTGGGCAGTATTGTAGAGACCATATGTTGCCCATGCATCATGATCCCTCTCTCGACCTGCCTTGTTTACTTCAAAGGAAAGGTAAAACCAGTACGTTTGGAACGAGGCAGGTTGCAGAAGCTGACGGATTAGAAGAACAGTGCTCTATCTCTCCTCCTTTCAGAGCTTCCCTCCTAGACCAGCTGCCAGCCAAGGCGAAGGGCCTGGTCTGCCCTGCCATAACACAAAGTTTTCAGGTTGCATTTCCTCTTCCTAGGATAAGGCTAGTAGCCTCCCCAATGCGCTCCTCCGCCCGAAGCCGTTGGCACAATATGGGATGTTGGGTTAGTATATGCCGCCCAACATTCGGCGTAACAGAAGACAGGTGGTACCAGCTACTGTTATACGGTAGCTCAGTCATATCTGACCAAGACCTGAGTGTTAACGGTCATGAATAATGCAGATATTGAGCTATTTTTGGGGAAACCAAATACCACGAGGCCGCGTTGTACGGAGCGGAAAAGAGAAGGAGGGGGAAGCGGGGGAGGGGGGATCATACAGAAAGGGATAGGGAATAAAGGGAGAAATGTCTGCAGAGAGACTGAGAACTGGGCATCTGAGAAGAAGCAGACTAAATACATGCGATGGTAACACCGGTCTTAAAATCCCATGATCTGAATGTGGAAGACTTGTCTCAACATGGGGGTGGTGTGTCTCAACATGAGGGTGGTGTGTCTCGACATAGGGGTGGTGTGTCTCAACATGGGGGTGGTGTGTCTCAACATGGGGGTGGTGTGTCTCAACATGGGGGTGGTGTGTCTCAACATCGAATGGTGTGTCTCAACATGGGGTGGTGTGACTCAACATGGGGGTGGTGTGTCTTAACAAGGGGGTGGTGAGTCTCGACATGGGGGTGGTGTGTCTCAACATGGGGGTTGGGTGTCTCAACATGGGGGTGGTGTGTCTCAACATGGAGGTGGTGTGGGTGTCTTACTAGTAACATTCGCCATCATCATGGGCCTTGATTCCCATGCCTCAAAATGTTACAATATAAAACTATCGCCTAGAAAGTTGAAAAGAGGACAAGAACCCTCTCGATTAAAAATAAAACCAACATACACACATCATCATCATCATTTAGCAGGTATTTTACAGAACGTCGCTCTAATCACGGTCCCCTCCCCCTCCCCGCAAAGGGAAAACAACAAAAAACTTGGTCTCTCGCCAGTTCTCCCGCCTCGTGTACTTTTAAAGTCAAGGAGTGTTGGTCGTATGGATGCGAGAGCTGGAAATCAACGAAAACTCTAGACACAAAATTAGACAGTTTTGAAAATAAATGCCTTAGAAGAATACTAAATTTCAAATGGTCAGATTTCCGAACCAATACACAAATAAGGCAAGAATCCAGGCAAGAGTATGTGTCTAATTTTATACGAAAACGCCGCTGGAACTATGTCGGCCACGCCCTTAGAATGGATAAATCAAGACTTCCTTACCAAGCCCTCATTTGGACACCACAGGGGAAAAGATCTCGTGGAAGACCAAGGGAAACCCTACGTAGAACTATCATCAGGGAAGGCTCGCTCATGGGCCACTCAAACATCCAAGACCTACAACGGATTGCAACGGACCGCCGTGCATGGAGAGTCGCGACCTCTGCCCTATGTGCCGCACTCGACACAAGAGGAAAGACTAACTAACTAACTAAGTTGGTCGACCCCTGCTCCTCTTTACTGGTACCATACATTCTGCTAATATGTGTTTCCAATCCGCCGTGGCGATTGATATGACCAAAATATTTCAGCTTCACCTACATATACACCTACCCACTCACTCGCACATACATATACACATACCCAATTACTCGCACATACATATAGACATACCCACTCACTCGCACATACATATACACATACCCACTCACTCGCACATACATATACACATACCCACTCACTCGCACATTCACATAAATTAACATTTTTCGTAGAACGGTTAACTAGTACAAACCTCTCCAAAATCGGAAAGGCCGTTAAATGTATGGTTCCCAGTGACATCAGCCTGCCAATTATCTGCCCTTGATTTTTCGACAGGGAAGAAGAAAAAAGACAGAAAACCACAATGAGAACACAAATTTCGTTAAAAAAATTGTTGTAGTTCAAGTAACGAGGTCAGGCTCAGAGAGAGAGAGAGAGAGAGAGAGATAGAGTAATAGGCTGCATGCAGTAGTAGGAGTAGGCTGCAACCCCCTAGCCCCCCCCCCCCGCCCGTGGGACGTAGGCTCAGGTTGTAGTGTGGAGCGTTAGGACCAGTTCTAAATGTTCTGCGACCGTTAAAAGCGCTCACATCGTGTAATATAGAACATGCGATGTCGCCGGCTGCCGACAACACTGCTTAAAATACGCCGTGTTCTTGGCGGGTCACTAAGCGTGACACCCCCACAACAAAGGACAGGACCTGCGACACGACCAGGCATGAATGGCACTCTCTTTTGGGCCCGACAACGTTACAAGCATCTTTTTTGGATTGCTTATTTTCAAGTCAGCTTCTATAGAGACAATCTTCTTCTTCCTCCTCTTCCTGTCTTTGATCTGAATACCTTATCTTTGAGAAACGAGACATATCTTTGAGCTACATATCATGCATTTAGCAAAATGTCTGATCTTTAAGAAAAATATCTTATCTTTGATCTAACTGTCTTATCTTTCTACAAACCAAAAATTAAAAAAATTAAAAACAATTATAAAAAAAATGTGTAAACTTTAGGCAAAATATCTTTCAGGTAAATTTGTATCCACAAGCAACATATTTTCTTTTAGCAAAATATAATATTTTTCAGCAAAATATCTGATCTTGCAGCAAAATGGCCGACCTTGCAGCAAAAAGTCATACCATTGAGCAAAAATTCTTACCTCTGAGCAGAACATCTTACGTTAGAGCAGAATGTCCCATTACTTACTTTACTTAGTCGCTCCTCTTCTACCTTGGGGTGTAGAGGTTTGCCGGAGAGAGATCGCCAGACGTCTCTATCAGCAGTTTTCTTTCTGGCTTTGTTCCATTCCAGCCCTCTGTCAGTTAGGGACTGTCGGATGTTGTCTTCCCAGCGCACCCTGGGTCGTCCCGGAGGTCTGGTTCCCTGGTTCTTAGCTTACCATGCTTGCCATGGTGGCCGATTTTCTCCCATTCTGCATACATGTCCAAACCATCGTAACTGTGACTGATCTACTCGGGTTAGGTTATGTTGTAGCTAATTATTTTCTAATCCAGCCACATATCTTAACCTGTAGCAAATTGTCTTATACTACCGACAAATGTCTTATATTGTTGAAAAATGTCGTAACATTGTAGCAAAATGTTTTCTACAGGAACAAAATGACTTATATTGCTGCAAAATATCTTATATTGTTGCAACATGTCTTTGTGTTGTAGGAAAATATCTTATATTGCAGCAAAATATCTTATATTGTTGCAACATGTCTTTGTGTTGTAGGAAAATATCTTATATTGCAGCAAAATATCTTATATTGTTGCAACATGTCTTTGTGTTGTAGGAAAATGTCTTATATTGCTGCAAAATATCTTATATTGTTGCAACATGTCTTTGTGTTGTAGGAAAATATCTTATATTGCAGCAAAATATCTTATATTGTTGCAACATGTCTTTGTGTTGTAGGAAAATATCTTATATTGCAGTAAAATATCTTATATTGCTGCAAAATATCTTATATTGTTGCAACATGTCTTTGTGTTGTAGGAAAATATCTTATATTGTTGCAACATGTCTTTGTGTTGCAGCAAAATATCTTATATTGCAGTAAAATGTCTTGTATTGCAGCAAAATGTTTTATATTGTAGAAAAATGTTGAATAGTGTAGTAAAATTGCTTTTATCGTAGCAAATTGTTGAATAGTGTTATAAAGTTATTTATACTGTAGCAAAATGTTGAATAGTGTAGTAAAGTTACTTATACTGTTCCAAAATGTTGAATAGTGTAGTAAAGTTACTTATACTGTAGCAAAATGTTGAGTAGTGTAGTAAAATTACTTATATTGTAGCAAAACGCTTTATGTTGGAACAAAATGTTTCACTGTGTAGAAAAATGTTTTTAATATAGTAAAATGTATTATAGTGTTGTAAAATGTCTTATGTTGCAGGAAGCTGTTTTGATCTGGCAGCAAAATGTCTTCTACTGGAGTAAAATACCCTCTAATGTAACAAACTGTCTTGCACTTGCAGCAGGATGTCTGTCCTGTACTCACCAGGGCGTGTCGCAGCTGTGAGTTAGTGTCATGTAGCGAACTCCCAGGTCATAGAACATTCGCAGGTTACCCAGGCTGCTGTCAATGGAATGGCCTCCCTCCAGTCCTATCAGACTGCCTACCTTGCCTGCGTGAAAGGCGTCCTCAATTCCTGTTCAAATTGCAAGAATCACATGTGTAATTAATCAACACAAATGTGTCGTCTTTTGTTCAACAGAAGTTAAAAGGAAGGTGGGAGGAATAGCAATGCAAAGATTAAATAGTATTGAACGTCGATTGTTAAGTATCTGCAACAACAAAAACTGAAGTAAAAATTGTAAGAGTATGCGTCTTAACTGGAGGGTACAAACAAATATGAGTAATGTACTTTCTTTAGTCTTTGAGGACAAAAAATTTGGGTTTTTAACTGAAATGCTATATAAAGATTCTTTGAATACCGTGGTCAGAGAAGAAAATCAAATGACATCCTGAAAGATCTCACCATCAGGAAAGGCTGGCTAGCAAACACCATCTTGTCTCAGAAACTGAAATATTTTTCCCATATTGAGCACTGGAAAAATAATAGCAGAAGGCATGGCACCATGAGAGAGAGAGAGAGAGAGAGAGAGAGAGAGAGAGAGAGAGAGAGAGAGAGAGAGAGAGAGAGAGAGAGAGAGAGAGAGGCAGGGGCCGACGAATACAAAGGTGGGCGCAGGACAAAAGTGACGCTTTGGGTAAGAAAGTGCACGAGGAGGGACAGCTGGCGAGAGACTAAGTTTCTTTCACGCAGACCGTGATGGGAGCGACGTTCTGCAGAGGACTTTTTAAAATAAAAATGATGTGTCGTCTTCACAAGAAAAGTTAGCTGCAGTGTACTGGTGTCCTTGAGAATGCTGTTTAGCCACCAATCAGTTCTACGGTGCATCTAATAAACTACTGTGAAATAACTATGACAACGTTTGTTTTCTTAAATGCATAAATGTTTTCTATGTTGCTTACTCCTATCTCATTCACGGCTTCATCCCCGAATCAGCCAGACAGAAGCCAGCACTCTTTTAGGCCCGCACCGTGCGTCAGCTCAGGGTGTTCCTTCAATGCCATGCTGTAAGCAAATCTCCTGTGCAACGTGCCATACTAGCATTGGTGGTTGGGACTTGGGCGACATGAACCAATCAGAGTCAGTCAATGTGGAATTTCGAATGCTACATTAAGAATCAACATCACAACACCCAGGACACTCCCATAAGCGCTCACTATCCATCTTCAGCAGCAAGCGAAGAATTCCAATATCGATGGTACCAGTAAATGTCTGACTCTACATCCGTCTCGCTTTTCCATTTAGTGTTAAGAGTCGGCCAAAATTCCCTGATAACTCCCCACAGTTCCAATCTTCTCAGACCGTAATGATCTATTTGTGCCTCTTCACTGTTCACTTGATCATAAAGGACCATCGCAGCATCTAGCTTGTCATCCATCAGTTCTTCACCAAATGGTACAGAACCGGCCAGTCTATCTCCCTGCTCCTTTCCCAAGACTTAGAGAAAATTTGCAAAGAACGCTAACTCTGCGAGACCACTGAAGCGATGCTTTCCGCTCTGCAAGAAGCATACTTGTCTCCACCTTTCTCAAAACATACTCTGTGAGTTCAACGTCAATTAAATGTTGACACATAAAAAAGCATCGACAACCAACTGTTTAAATAACATATATCTGAACATCTCATAAAAGTCTCAATTTAGTTTGAAAATAAAATTTGAGTTAGTTTTAAGAAATTTTGAGAACATTCTAGAAATCATGTCTGACCCTGAGCAGTAGTGACAAACTGGAAAACATCCGGGTATCTTGCCACCAATTTCTTAATGGTGTCCACTTGGTCAAGGGACTGTCTGACCGCGTCCTTGTACTGGCTGCTACACTGCACGTAGGCTGCCCAAAACTACCAGAAATTTGACAATCTTTAGAAACAATCATCTTTTTGTTTTGTTTTTTAGTATGCCTATATCTCTTTCTTTCTCTGCATCTCTGATTTTGCACTGCGTCTTTCTATCTGTATGTGTGAATATATATGTGTGTGCTCGCGCCTCTGTGTGTGTGTGTGTGTGTGTGTGTGTGTGTATCTTTCTTTCTGCGTGGGCATCTCTGTCTCTCTATGAGTCTTTCTGTCTCCATCTCTCTATATATTTTCTACTCACCGTCTCTTTGATCGTGTCTCTCTTTACCCTTGTTTCTTTTTGTATGTCGTTGTCTGTGACTCTCTCTCTCTCTCTCTCTTTCCCTCTCTCTCTCTTTCCCTCTCTCTCTTTCCCTCTCTCTCTCTCTCTCTCTCTCTCTCTCTCTCTTTCTCTCTCTTCGTGTGTGTCTATGTCTCTGTGTGTCCGTTCTCCCCTCATTTTCTTCATCTATCCCCTCTCTCTCTCTCTCTCTCTCTCTCTCTCTCTCTCTCTCTCTCTCTCTCTCTCTCTCTCCGCCTCCTCTCACTGTGTGTCTTCCTCATCCACTCACACATAAGCATACACAACAAACCTATAGCAAAAATCGTAGTTAGTATATTAGCTAAAACTATGAAAAGTATTAGATCCAAACTAATCAAAAAATTAAATTAATCACACACACACACAATAAAAATAAAATTTTGGAAGACAGGACTGCATGCAAATTATTACAGCATCTTCTTGTGTGTCGGTTCCGGGGTCCCATTGTGGGGGGAGGGGAGACGGTGTTGGATGAGGGGGAAGGGGCTTGGGGGGGGGGGGGGTTAGAGAATCATAGATGAGCTGGCCCCTGATTCAGCATGTAGTAAGCGTAGACTAATTAGGAATATTTCCTTCGAAGCCGGAGTGCATCTGTGAAAAAGCAAACTAACCAACAGTCTGCATAAAAATAATCTGTAAAACAGGTGTGCAGTCAAAACTCAGGTTCTGGTATAAGACATGAGTCCAGAATTGGGTGGAACAAAATCACACTTTCCGCCAGAGTTTACAGCTGGCGAAAGTGAAAAATAATAATATACATGCCTGCTTGTCACTTAGAACATCTTGTCAGTTGTAGCTTGCAGTTATCTGTGAGTTAATTTGCCAGATAGGATAAAAGTAAAGGCAACAGTAGAAGAAAATTACATTTTCCCATGCCTTCGCTAGGCATATATTGCTAGTCCTCTATTTCATGGACCCATCATGGGTGATGTCGTCAACATCAGGCCGGCCACTTTTACTTCCCAGCACTTTACCTGGTACCCATTTAAGGCTGGATCGACCTGGGGCCAAGATAATTTGTGTTTCAAAGTCCGGCTCCGTCTGGACTCGAACCCATGACTGTATCCGCTGATGAGCATGAAGCTGCTACACAACAGTGGCTCGCCTAGAGATATAATCATCAGTTCTCATTATGCCTAGTGGCACATAAGGCTTCAGAGAGGACTTTCCATGCTTTCCTGTCCTGTGCAATCTTCAGTGCAGTTTTCCGTGTCAAAGATGCCGCACTCAGGTCACTCTCCATCGTTCGGCTCCATGTTGTTTTTGGGCGCCCCTGTTTTCTCTTTCCCTCTGGTATCCATGTAAGAGCTGTTTTGGCAGGTATATCAGGATTCATTCTCATAACGTGGCCAAGCCATTTCCATCTTCTCTTGGTTATCATACTGTCTAGAGTTTCTTGGTTTGTGACTTGAAGTAGTTTAGTGTTTGAGATTGTATCTGGCCAGAAAATTTTGATAATTCTACGTAGACATGTGTGGTGGAAGGTGAACAGCTTGTGTACATCCTTTTTGGTCATTCTCCAGTATTCTGCTCCATAAAGAAGAACTAACAAGATGATGCTCTTGTAGAGTCTGAGTTTTGTTCCTTATAGTACTTAACCAAAATTAAACCACACACTTAGGAATGTCGCAGAACAATTGTGGTAAATTTACATAAATAGTTGTGTAGTGAATGGGTTAATGAGGGCATACCTGGGCGCCAAGTTTTCCCTGGCGTATTCGGGGAATGTCAGTGTGCACCTCACTCCAACCGCTTCGCAGGTCGATACTCCAGACGGAGTTGTTGGCTTTGGATCGATACTGCCAGGGAAGATCGTTGTGCCTAAAAAAATATTTTTTAAAAATTGTGTGTGTGACTAAAATAACATAAGAAACTGTTTTACTGTCAAAGGCAAATAAAATGGTAATTTTAAGCATTGACGAAATAACATTTCTTTCTGCCTACAGAGATCTGGTTTCAACCGGCTGATAGCGGAAGCTTTCGCGTATCGGAGTAATCAACGGTTGGCCGAATTGTAAATATGCATTTCGAATTATTTACAATTCGGCCAACCGTAGATTACTCCGATACGCGGAAGCTTCCGCTATCAGCCGGTTGAAACCAGATCTCTGTAGGCAGAAAAGAAATGGTAGTTTCCTTAAGGTTACCTTGGTGAAACAGACAGTGTAGAATGTACTCGAATTTGTGTTTCAGTTTCTAGGATTCAGCTATTTGCCTAATTTTTATCACTTTTTACTGTAGTACGCACCTGACGAGATACAGCGAAATATGCCAGGCAATAAATTGTGCAGTCTATTGTTTGTGTCTTTTTTTGTTTGTTCAAATTCACATCGGGGAAACATTGCTTTGATTAACAGAAATAACAGTTAAGTTTAAGCGCCGAATAATAGGAGATTAATTAGCATAGTATACTAGCAGTACTTTGTTGATAATGATGATGATAGTGGTAGTGGGTGTGATGGCGGTAGTAGTAGCAGTGGTGGTAGTGGTGGTAGTAGTAGTAGTAGTAGTAGTAGTAGTAGTAGTAGTAGTAGTAGTAGTAGTAGTAGTAGTAGTAGTAGTAGTAGTAGTAGTAGTAGTAGTAGTAGTAGTAGTAGTAGTAGTAGCAGCAACAGCAGCAGCAGCAATCTCAGCAGTAGTAATAACCGCCAACACTTTGCATAACAAGTTTCTTTTTTTTTTAACTATTTGTTAATTCTGTTCACTATTTATTAAAAATACACCACTCGGTTCAAGTCTTGAACATAGCAAAACGAAAGCTAGTTGCATACTCACATCAGTCATTCAGAAACTGTAACGTGCGAAAGTGACCAGTTACTAGTACGACAATGCTAGCTGCGCTGGCATACTCTTAACAGCAAAGCGGCGAGGAGGAAAATATCATGTAATACCCTCTCCAGCGTAGGAGTCATCTCCTAAAGCATACACTTGTGAACAGACCATGTCTAGCCACCGAGTAATAGTAGCAGTGGAGTGTAACAACACCCGGCTTGCTGGCTTTGTAGACATTGATACTAAAAACGGCTGTCTGCAGGACATAAGGTGTGACCCAGGACTTTCTTCGGGCGGAAGCCGGTACTGACATTATTTTTTGCATCATTTTCTTAAGATTTAAGGTTAGTTGCGTATCCTTTACAGGACGTTGCACAACCAACCCTAGCAGCCCCTGGCTGTTGTGTGGTTTCTCTAGACAAATTTACGTCCAGTAGTTTGCCATTGCTTCCTGGTACCACTGTCGAAACCAACGCAAGACGCATGGCCCGCAGCTGGGATCGAACCCGGCACCCCGGCATTACGAAGCGTTCGCATCGACTTAACCACAGAGACGACCATTTTCTGTAAGCGCTATTGAAATAGATACTTTGTGGTCTGTACCGGCACCTTTCAAAGACGTTATGTGGTGGGCCTGGTGTAGACCAATAGTTTTATCCATCGGCACACAAAGTATGTCGGCTTCTGTGGCTTAGGCGTTGCGAACTCGCTTCGTAATTCTGTGGTGCCGGGTTCGACACCCAGATGTGGACAGTCTGAAAACCGACCGCCGTGCGTTGGTTTAATCTGCGGTATCGAGAGACGCCGACCGTCCATGGCTGACAAGCTTGTTAGACGTAAAATTGCCCAGTGACACATCACAGACAAAAAAGTGCTGAGATTGGTTCTGCAAAGTCCAGTAATGGGCATGAAACTAACTTTTAACGTGATAGGAGATGTGGTCAGTTTTACGCTAGTCTCCTTTGCCAACCTCATTCACTTCTCACAATATTGGGGGCTTTCTTTTTAGCCGACCACAAATGACGTAACGGGACAGTCCAGTATTTTAGAGGGTGGTAAGAGCGGGTTTTCCGTGGCTTCTTATCTTTAGCGCGTTTCTTCCAAGACCAAGGTTTTCGCGTGTTTACCTAACCCTAACCCTAAACCTAACCAAAATTAAACACTTAATCTACAACACTCAGAAACATGTGACTGTCCCGTAGCCTGTGGATTTTCCCTGTTTGTGTTCGGCTAATAAGAAAGTACCGAATATTGAATGTAATCTTTCAATGGCTGAATGTATAAATCCAGCCAGTTTTAAAATCCCCCCCCCCCCTCTTTACACACGGGGGATTCTTTCTCATGCACTCAGCACGAGTATACAAGGGTGTTTGCCACTGCCTCACACTACCTGGAGTGCGGTGAAACGGTGAGGCTCTCTGAGGCTATATGTGTCAGGCGTCCCGAAAGCACAAGACTGAAAGAAATTGTTCAGCCACTAGCCAGAAGGAGTCGCCGTGGCGTAGCGGCTAGACGCTAGCGTGAGGATCAGAAGGTCGTGGGTTCGCTCCCTGACGGAACCGGACTTTTTCCAAAATAACGTTGACTCCCAGGTCGACCCAGCATTGAGTGAGTACCGGGTGCAGTCTCGGAAAGTAAAGGCGGCCGGCGCATGCTGACCACATGACCCATCTTGTGCCGGTTGGTCTATACAAATAAAGGTCTAGCCCTATATGCCCTATATGCCCTATACGCCCAAGGCGTGGAAAAAGGATCTTTATTAATTTGTTTAACCTAGCCAGAATGAATCCGACGATGGCGGCAGCTACAGCGTACACAATGAACTTAGAAATACCAAGAGGGAACCTATAGGAAGATGGACTGACCAAGTCACTGACAACCTAAGATTTCACAACATTGCAATATATACCAAGCAACCGAGCCTTCCTGATTCATGTATCTATCAGGAGTTAGTTAAACTGTTAAATGTTGAATTAAGAATTGACATCACATCACTCAGGGCACTCCCATAAGTGCTCAGTCCCCATCTTCAGCAGTAAGCGAGGAGTTCCAATTCCGATGGTACCAGTAACCGTCTGATTGTATATCCGTCTCATTCTTTCCCCTAAGCCAGTCCACTAAAAACTCCTCTCAACGCTATTCTCCTTGGACTGATCTATCTGCGCCTCCGCACTGTTTACCGACATGACCTAGAGATAATATCTAAAGGAAAGGAAAGGATGCTAACTACTCGGAACCTCTGAAGCGATGCTTGACACTCTGCACGAATCATGCCTGTTTTCACATTTCTTAACATAATCTGAGAGTCAGTTATAATCACAGCATGTGTGTACAGGTGATTTTCAAGCCAGCGGAAGGCAGCAGAGACTGCCTCCACCTCCATTCTCAAGTTAAACTGCGACGTCCGGCAACACAAAGCAGATAGCAATTAGGACACCTCCTACTTGCAGTCTCAGATAGTCAGTTAAGACCAGTGTTTTTCTCCGTTTTTCAGTTTACATTTTTCCACGGCGCCCTAACCTAAGTAAAAGTATGACTATTCTTATGTAAGAGATCAAAACAAATGAAACTCGTGTATCTTCAAATATTTCGCGGCGCCCCTGTGAAGAGGTCGCGGCTCCCTGGGGCGTCGCGGCCCAGTGTTTGGGAATCCCTGGTTTAGATAAAGATTAGGTTACCTAAGTATGCCACAGTGTGTTGTGAGGTATTTATTCTCGTGACCTGATAGAATTACCATTGTGTGTCAGTCTGCGTTCAAATATGCCCGTACAGTTTATTTTTTTATAACTGTTAACTGTCCTTATTCTAATTTAGTCTACAACAGGGGCGTCGCTGCAAGGAAATCAGTGGGAACGGTGCTCTGCTCCCCTCATAATTTTCTAGGAGATGTGATTGATAGAGGGGGGAAAAAGGGAGACGTCGTATGATACCCACCCGTCAACAAGCGGATATCTGCTGAGGATATCCACCGCTCTTTGCAGCCTTAAATGGTAGGGCTCTTCTGACAGATCTGTGTCCTGATTGAGACCGACTCCAAGACCCACCGACAGGGCGATAACCACCAGCACAACTGCGGGGATTGCTGTCAACAAATAGAATATTTGTATGTTAAAGTAACAAAATGTATTGCAACAATGATATAGATTGGTGACAGTGTAACAAAATGTATTGCAACAATGATATAGATTGGTGACAACAAAATGTATTGCAACAATGATATAGTTTGGTGACAGTGTAACAAAATGTATTGCAACAATGATATAGATTGGTGACAGTGTAACAAAATGTATTGCAACAATGATATAGATTGGTGACAGTGTAACAAAATGTATTGCAACAATGATATAGTTTGGTGACAGTGTAACAAAATGTATTGCAACAATGATATAGATTGGTGACAGTGTAACAAAATGTATTGCAACAATGATATAGATTGGTGACAGTGTAACAAAATGTATTGCAACAATGATATAGATTGGTGACAGTGTAACAAAATGTATTGCAACAATGATATAGATTGGTGACAGTGTAACAAAATGTATTGCAACAATGATATAGATTGGTGACAGTGTAACAAAATGTATTGCAACAATGATATAGATTGGTGACAGTGTAACAAAATGTATTGCAACAATGATATAGTTTGGTGACAGTGTAACAAAATGTATTGCAACAATGATATAGATTGGTGACAGTGTAACAAAATGTATTGCAACAATGATATAGATTGGTGACAGTGTAACAAAATGTATTGCAACAATGATATAGATTGGTGACAGTGTAACAAAATGTATTGCAACAATGATATAGATTGGTGACAGTGTAACAAAATGTATTGCAACAATGATATAGATTGGTGACAGTGTAACAAAATGTATTGCAACAATGATATAGATTGGTGACAGTGTAACAAAATGTATTGCAACAATGATATAGATTGGTGACAGTGTAACAAAATGTATTGCAACAATGATATAGATTGGTGACAGTGTAACAAATGTATTGCAACAATGATATAGATTGGTGACAGTGTAACAAAAATGTATTGCAACAATGATATAGATTGGTGACAGTGTAACAAAATGTATTGCAACAATGATATAGATTGGTGACAGTGTAACAAAATGTATTGCAACAATGATATAGATTGGTGACAGTGTAACAAAATGTATTGCAACAATGACGTAGATTGGTGACAATGTAACAAAATGTATTGCAACAATGATATAGATTGGTGACAGTGAAACAAAATGTATTGCAACAATGAAATAGATTGGTGACAGTGTAACAAAATGTATTGCAACAATGATATAGATTGGTGACAGTGTAACAAAATGTATTGCAACAATGATATAGATTGGTGACAGTGTAACAAAATGTATCGCAACAATGATATAGATTGGTGACAGTGTAACCAAATGTATTGCAACAATGATATAGATTGGTGACAGTGTAACAAAATGTATTGCAACAATGATATAGATTGGTGATAGTGTAACAAAATAACTGAAAAAGGTTGCATTAGAATGTGACAATATAACCAAATGCGTGTATATGTGACAATATAACCAAAGGCGTGTATATGTGACAAAATAACCAAAGGCGTGTATATGTGACAATTTAACCAAAGGCGTGTATATGTGACAATTTAACCAAACGCGTGTATATGTGACAATTTAACCAAACGCGTGTATATGTGACAATTTAACCAAATGCGTGTATATGTGACAATTTAACCAAACGCGTGTATATGTGACAATTTAACCAAAGGCGTGTATATGTGACAATATAACCAAAGGCGTGTATATGTGACAATTTAACCAAACGCGTGTATATGTGACAATTTAACCAAAGGCGTGTATTTGTGACAATATAACAAGTATACTGCAACACAGTACTATCATAAAACTTACTAAACCAATGGTTAAGCCTACGATAAATTACCAAGTGTGAAATTATTAAACGGCTGAGAAAAGCCGCAAATTTAACCATCCGAGACCAACTTACAAATAATATTATCAGACAGACAGTGGGAACAACAGCAGGCAGCAAATTCATTGAGAAACAGAGGATCAAATGGTGTGGACATCAAGTAAGAATGCAGCCAGACGTACTACCAACGCAGGCGCTACACATGAAAAGATCTGATGTGAAAACAAGATGTCGTCCTAGGAGAATATGGACTGAATACATCAACGAGTTTCTACATCCACACAGATTGACAGCAAGCAGTAGATCGAATCCTGTTGTTCCCCGCGGAAGTTGAAATTGATGACGATGATGATGATGAACCAATCATAAGATATACACATAATTGAATATTATTAAAAAAAAAACACACAAGGGCAGACATGCATGCAACGACAAAGTAATAGAAATACTGCGTGAGTGTGGGCGTCTTGTTGAGAAGCCTGTCTCTGTGGTTTTATTTTTGTTTTTTCACATCCTGGTTCATCAAAGGTATTTCTTATGTACCAAAGAAGATAAATGTAAATTAGGAGCACTTTTGGGTTACACCCGCGTGCCATGATGCTGATCCGTCGAAAAACATAAACTGGCTCAAGTAATAATATTATGTCACAAAATGGAGAATATGCTAGGTAATATTCTTTGCAGTTTATCAACTGAGCTGAGAGGTTGTTGTTGTTGTTTTTTTTTTTTTTTTGAAAGACCTGTACAGTGCCAATCATGATGTACAGAAACGAATCATTGAAAAATCAGCTAATTAGGGGAAAACAACTCTGTGGAAGCTGCAGAAGTTAGTTTTGTAGACCAATGATGAGAACACCGTGGACAGATAAAAAGGAATAATCGAAGATGTCTTGAAAAGTATTAACTAGCGAAAAGAACCACTGTGAAAAGGGGAGAACGTTTATACACCAAGACAGTGAAAACTGGATGGGAAGAGAAGAAACGGAGACGAAAAGATAAGATGCTTGACCGTTTGCCGTCATGCCACGAAGGAGCATCTAGATCTGGAAAGTACTCACAAATAGGAAGCTTAGAGCCTAATTAAAAACTAGTCTTATTCGTTGTCCAGGTTTCAACTTCCTGCAATCGGGTTTTCCCCATACCTGCTCCGTTCCTGTGCCAGGGAAAATCAAATGAAATGTTCCTCAATGTCCCCATCGCAAATCAGGTGAACAAACAATTAGTCCCGAAACAATCCAGAAATATGCACACGCAGTTGAAGTGTATTAATGTTGCTAGAGGCGACAAAGCCAACAATCGTCACCAGAAATTCAGTTTGTCGTTAATGGCAGTAGTCGGACACGATGAGTTGGCTACTATTCACACGTAGAATTATTAAATAAAGTATTTCACCAGCTCACACGTACACCTGCTACCGGTCATATTAAATAACACGACACAACAGCTGCTCAAATGAAATGCAATCCACATGAAAAATATAGCTCACATTGCTGCAACCAAGCACTAAACTCATTAGCTCAGGCAGCGAAACCGTAGACTAACGTCCATTTATGGAAATTGCATTAACAAAGCGTTATCAGAAGCACACAAAAAACTTCGAAGCTGAAACATTCTGCCAAGCCTATCCTCCATTTTAGGCCGGGAGTCTTAATTATAAATTAACCAACGCCACACACTGTGAACTACACGAAGTTCAACACATATTGTGATTGCCGGGGGTGGGGTGGGGGCAAAAATTATAGGACGAGGTCGAAATTTCGGGGAAACGCGGTCATCATCATCATGTGGCAGGTCCTTTGCAGAACGTCGCTCTCATCACAGTCTGCCTGAAAGAAACTCGGTCTTTTGCCAGTTCTCCCACCTCATGCACTTTCAAACTCAAGGAGTCACCTATATCCTGTGCCCATCTTCGTGTCGATCGGCCCCTGCCCCTCCTTCCTGGCACCATATCTCTTCTGATTTTTTTTCGTGTAGTTCCTATATGCATGACTCCTTGCTTTAAATTTCTTCTTTCTTCTATCAGGTTGAAATTTTTTTCTGTACTGTAAATCTGTTTCTTGTGTCGCTTTTTAGGAATCATGTTCTGAGCTGTTGTGATGATGATGTTTCTTGCTTCATCAGCCAACTCATCAGGTGTCATATCCTCCTGCACTGCCATTAGCGCCTCAAATTTGTTTTTAACCTCAATGCTGTAATCATTTGGCAAATTACTCAAATCAAAACGTATTGGCGTAACCCCTTTGAACACTTTTTTTTTAAGTTTTATTTTAAATTCTGCAACAAGAAGTTTGTGATCAGTGTCACAGTCAGCTCCAGGGAGTGTTTTTGCAGATGTTATACATGTCCTCCATTTTTGTTGTATTAAAATATAATCAATTTGGCTCCTGCTATTTCCATCTGGTGATGTCCAAGTGTAGAGCCTTCTTGGGTGTTGTTTAAATAGTGTGTTTGTAATACACATTTCTTTTCTATACAGAATTCAATCAGTCTCTCCCCACTCTCGTTTCTGTCTCCTATGCCGAATGGGCCTCTGACTAATTCCTCTTCCTCTATTCTACCTCCGCCAATTTTTGCATTAAAATCTCCCATGATGATTATAATATCTCTCTTTTTTTTTTAACCCTTTCTAATGTCTCTTCTAAACTGTCATAAAAGTTTTGAATTTCATCTTCCTCTGATGCAGATGTCGAAGCATAGACTTGAATAATTGTGATGTTTCTTTTCCTTGACTTGAGTCTGACAGTTAGAATTCGGTCGCTGATCGGTTAATATCCAAGGAAATGCGGTACATACCTGAATTCAACATGGCAGATTGTGCCTGCTGTGTTTAAGGGGATGCTCTTCGGTTGTTTACTGTCACTGTCCAGTGTTTCATATTATTAATATTATTTTGCTATCTTGGGGAATATTTTGTAATTGCTCTCTTCATATCACGGTAAATTATATTCCCCCATGTTTTAGCGATTGACTGGATATGTTTCAGTGAGGTGCGGTTTGGTGCTCAATTAATAAAATCCAACGTGAGGTGAAGAGCGAGTCAATGTGTCCGAGCAAGTTACAGACTTGTGTAGGTTTTTTTTTAATCACTTTGGGTCGTGAGTGCAGGGACTGGCCAGCTGGCACTGCAGAATCAGAAGTTCAGCCCATGATTCATGACAATTCCCGCCCAAGTAATGTGATTGATTACCTATTTATATGGCTCTGTGTTGAGGGGAAGAAGAAGTGCATGGGGGTTCATAACGAAGGCGAATGGATGTCGCTTGGTGCAACAAAGCCTGGCAAATGATATCACAACGTCTAGTGTAAGAATGGAGGTGGAGGCAGTCACTGCTGCCTTCCGCTGGCTTGAGAATCAGCTGTACACTCATGCTGTGATTGTAACTGACTCACAGAGCATGTTGAGAAAGGTGGAGACAGGTAAGCTCGACATCATAGTACTCGGGACACTCCTATAAGCGCTCTGTCCCCATCTTCAGCAGCAAGCGAAGAGTTCCCATTCCGATGGTACCAATAACTGTCTGATTGTACATCCGTCTCCCTTTCCTACCCTTGAGTTTTAGATCAACCAGAAAGCCACAGATTCAGCCAAAGAGAGCTACTATAGGACGGACAGACAATAACAAGTCATAACCATGCCCCTCAGAATAGGACACACACTTGATTAAGCAACCAAATGTGTACAGTAAAATAATTCTCGCACGCTATATTGCAGGCGCGACAAACTGGCAACCCACGGGCCCCGTGCAACCCTTCGCCAGCAAGCATAGAAATATTTTGCAAATAAGTTTCATTAAAAGAGTCTAATAAATTGTCAAGTGTGACCCTATTGACAATATTTGGCCCCTATGGCTTTCACTGGACCATCAGTTTAACATGCCTGCTACACTGCATTGTTGACAGTCCATTTTCTTAGTAATTACGATTACTTTTTCTGCTCTTCAAACTAAGAAGAGGTTTAGGCTTTCTGTTTTAATTATGATTAAGGTTGTTGCGTATCCTTTACAGGACGTTGCAGAACCAACCCTAACAGCCCCTGGCTGTTGTGTGGTTTCTCTAGGCAAATTACGTCCAGTAGTTTGCCATTGCTTCTGGACGGTCGGCTTTCTTGATACCACTGTCGAAACCAACGCAAGGCGCATTGCCCGCAGCTGGGATCGAACCCGGCATCCCGGCATTACGAAGCGAAGTGTTCGCATCGACTTAGCCACAGAGCCGACTAATTATGATTACTGTAACCTTTTCTTAAATTCTGTGTATGAATAACGGCACATTTTTGGGGGTAAGAAAACAAGTCCCTGTACTAGGTTATTTCATGGGGAGTAAAGGAGGTCGTTGTCCCGTTGGTCTCATCAACCGCCGAGTGCCTATTGGTTTACAAACAATACGCGTCTAGTTATGAGTTGGATTATCTTCACAGCACTCCAAACACATCCATATGTGCTCAGATTCCCCTCTCAACATATTCATCAGCGTCGCGCGGTTACTGGTGCTAGTCCTATGCTGGTTGACAAGGCAATGTGTGCGTCCGGTGTGCTTCTCATGCTTGGCTGTGCCGATATTTACTCACAATTCTCGTATTCTCAGCAGTGATGTGGTCACGTTGCTTCCAAAACCCCCGGAACGTCCTATCTCTCTCATGGGCCGGCCATCTTCAATTAATGCGGCACCGGCCAGTCTAGTGTCATATGCCGGATGGGCCACTGGTTTAAAAAAGGGGTTGTTCACTGACTTACCTATAAACAGTATCTTCCTAGTGGGAATACTACTACCATAGAACTTCAGAGGCGAACTTCTTGTTTCCTTTTCGGCGTATTCCATGACAAGAAAGATGTGTTGGCTTGTGTAAGCGTGTGAGAATTTCTAATCCAGCAAACACCTAAACCTCGGCAGTAAAATAGCGATTAGATGCGTGTAGCTGCTAGCACATTTGAAACCCGCATCTTTGTCTTAATACGAGGTCACGGAAACTATCAAAGGCGATCCCAACTAATTCATGTTGAAGGCAAAATTGCTTATCTTGATTCCCGCGGGAACTGAATCCGTGACACGAATTCTAAGCACGGACTTGTTGCTAGGAGGTCAAATAGTTAACTAACCTTGAACATACTACTTTCACACACGCTGCTTACTATAGGAATATTAGATAGTAACGCAAAAATCTATTTATTTTATTCCCCCATAGTGGAGTAACCCTTTCCCGTCTTCGGGCGTATTGGGTATAAAGGCCTAGGATTTATAATTTATAGCCTAGTAGGCACCTAGTGTGTGATACGGTCAGCATCACGCCGGCCGCCTTTACTTCTCAGGACTTTACCTGGTACCTATTTAAGGCTGGTTCGAACAGGGAGTCCAGCTCAAGCTCCGTCAGGACTTGAACCTACTACTTCTGGATTCGAATGCCAGCGCCTAGCCACTACACCGCAGCGGTTCTCTCCCGTTCCCCCCCCCCCCCACCCCAGACATATTTTATTCTTACCACTTACCAATTGGCAGAATAATTAGTTTGAAAACAAAACAATAACCTTGTCTCTCTGCGGTTTTCTTAATTCTTCTTCTTCTTCTGCCTTTCTATCCCCCAATGGAGCATAGGCCCTCAACTAACTTACGCCAAGTCGTTCTATCCTTCGCCATTACATGGAGCTCTTCCCATGTCCTCCCAATCTTTCTAACCTCATTCTCCAGCTCTCTTCTCCATGTGTTTTTTGGCCTTCCTTTATTCCTATGCCCCTGTGGGTTCCAATGCAAAGACATTCTAGTTATGCTGTTCTCCTGTTTTCTCAGTGTGTGCCCTATCCAACGCCAGCGTCTTTTCCTCACCTCCTGATCCACTGGAGCCTGTTTAGTTCTCTCCCAAAGTTCTACATTAGTTATTCTATCATACCATTTTATTCCCTCTGTTCTGCGCAGGCACCAGTTAATGAATGTCTGTAATTTATTAGTAGTTGCCTTGGTTGTTCTCCATGTTTTCTTAATTACTTTGTGTTTTTTATTTTTTATGCTACCATTTGTTGTTTTCTTTTTCAGCTTCTGAGCATTTGAGGTTAATTGTTCGCGGGTTTTACCCACCTCCACTCATCGCTGTCTGCTGCTGCTATTGTATTTGTTGTGCCTTTTTTTTCAGAAACCATGAGTTGTAAACCCTTTGGCTCGGTAGGGTATCGCAACCATTCCATGACAGGTGCCGTAAATCTCGAAAATATGTGGCTTTTCTGCCTACAAGGAGTTTGTCACCCGGTCGCCGCACAGCTGGTTTAACCAACTTAGCTATAATACGGGTCTACTGCCGCACGCTTGCCTTTACAGCTTAGTGATTATAAACGTAGTCTTATAATTCAGACATATCTGGTCCTATTCAGCTGCAGTCGGTTCTGGCAGCAGATCGCGTTACGTTGAACCTCATAACGGTAACAGGGTCAATCGTTTAGTAGCAATTAAAGACTACAAACTGTGAAAACGGGTATCGTGTATTAAAGTTTTCTCGAAGCTTAGTGTACGAAGGCTCATGTGGCTGCGTCACACCTGGAGAATGAAGGATGGCTGATTCCCTATGAACATCCTTTATAGTAAATTAAAGACGGGTAGAAGATGTCGAGGCTTGCCGATACTACTATATAAAGATGTGTGCAAGCGGGACATGAATGATACAGGTACTGAGGCCGGCTCGTGGAAACAAAATAATATGGGCCGTGTTTTGTCGAGGAGGCAGATTAAAAAGAGGATGAGAATGAAGGAAGAAATGATGGCCGAAAGGATGAGAATGAAGGAAGAAATGATGGCCGAAAGGATGAGAATGAAGGAAGAAATGATGGCCGAAAGGATGAGAATGAAGGAAGAAATGATGGCCGAAAGGATGAGAATGAAGGAAGAAATGATGGCCGAAAGGATGAGAATGAAGGAAGAAATGATGGCCGAAAGGATGAGAATGAAGGAAGAAATGATGGCCGAAAGAATGAGAGCTAAGTGTATGAGAAGAAACAGACTAAACAGAAATGTTGACAACATGAAATCCCATGCTATAATTGTGGAAGACTTTTCTTCACGCGGGCGGGTCTTGCTTAAAAAAAAAAAAAAAATAGTCACACTCGCCATCGCCATGGGTCCTATCCCACGTCTCCATATAGCGTAATATAATACTATCGTCTAGAAAGTCGGAAAGGTGCCAGTCATCAATCAATCATTTACAACAAAAGTAAATTTCCCGAGTAAAACCACAGCCAACAAAGGTTATTGTTTATTTGCGACTTGGGGGTGACTAGTTGATCATGTTCTTAGTGCACTTGTATCCATGGCGAGGCGTACACGCCGTCTGGGGGTGACAGGTTCAATTCCCGGTACGGTAACTAGAGCTTTCGATTTTTATGTTGTCTAGTTTATTCTTATATCTTTCTATGAGTGCCGATCAATGCACTTTCTGTTACTTGATTAATTCGTAACTGGAAATTGCGCTAACTGAAAGACCAAGATTAGTCGGTCAGGAGAGAAACGTCTTTTGTTTTGTTTTCAACCGTTACAACATGTTCCATGTTGTAGTTTTTCTGCTCACCAAGAATATTTAAAATATCAACTGGATTATTTCCGCTGTTTGTGATAAACTTTCCGTGTATCATTTAAGATATACATCCGTTGATTAAAATTTTCGAAACCTTTTGTTTAATTGAGAGAGAGAGAGAGAGAGAGAGAGAGAGAGAGAGAGAGAGAGAGAGAGAGAGAGAGAGGGGGGGGAGAGAGAAAGAGAGTGAGAGTGGCAGAGGGAACGAACGAACAAGAAAGAGACAGACACATGGGTGACAGAAGAGAAAAAATATGTCAGGGAAAAAGAAAATATTTTTACACACACGCACACACACACATATATACATAGAGCCATAAAAATGTTGAGGCTTTGAAAAGCTGAAGTTTTCTTCTCGGTATACACATATTCACACAGACATACATAACATTGTTTTTGGTCTTTTCTTTCTTCCTATTTTCATACCGCGTGTCAGAAAAAAAAAACACTAACAATTACTGTAGAATAGTAATTAAAGTGCTCGCGACTGGGAAGGGGGGGGGGGTGGAGGGCCCTATATACACAAAGCAGCCATATTTGTGCTAATTATTAAACATATAGTAAGTCGCTAAACACAGAAAAGATTTAGTAAACCAATACGTTTGCAAATTGCAAACAGCTCCCCCCCCCCCCCCCCCCCCCCCCCCCCCCCACCACTTAAGGAAAAATTATAATTCATGCCACTGAACGAAAAATTGCTTCCTACCAGTTCAAGCATTTGGTTACATTAGTGCCCTGACTACAGCCAAGGGAGGGCGCACTTTGAACTGACGAAAAACTGCTCGTCCCATTCTAGGGCGGGTGTTGCCTGTCCCAGGTTAAAAATATTGGAACAAGCAGCAGTCTTGGAAAAGCCAATAGTAGAGACATGCACTGAATATAAAATAAGAACATTAGAAGCGAGTAACAATCACACTGACTGCCTTCAAACCCCCCACGAGTGATAAACACCTAGTGACACAAAATGTCACCATTCCAATGAGAATTCACCTGGGTGCAAGACTGACTGACTGACTTTCTACCCCACCAGGACATCACACAAGCAATAAACACCCGATGACACAATGTGCCACCATGCGGGTGAGGATCACCGTGGAGAGGTTCAGCCTTTAGGCCATATTTATGGCCAGGCTATATTGCAGCCTCTGGCAAGAGCCAGAGTAGGGCTTCAAACAACGAAAAATTTCATCCTAAAAAGGACGAGAAGTAATAGTATATTATATCTGGGCGCAGTCCTAGAAACCCCATTCAACTCATAGGTTAAATTAGGATCAGCTGGGTGCGGGGCTTCAAAATAACAACAAAAAATTTCGTCCCTCATTGGGATGGGGATTATAACTAAACAAACATACTGCAGAAGGACTATAAAATATCGATATCATGATTCAGACGAATTAGTCATTGTCAAATTTTATTTTTGCAATTTAAAATGAAGAAAACAAAGGGGAGGTAATTTAAATACTCATTATGTCAGTTGCACATGTTAGGTCCCTTTTTAGAACTCAAATATGGCTGTTTTTTTGTCAACATCACCATTGAGATTCACATCTTTCAGTCTGTCTTCTACAACAGTGGTAATCTCTTCCTCATCAGTATCATTATCATCGTCATCATCATCATCATCATTCTCATCCGAGTCCCGGGGCATAGTTTCATGGATAAGAATACTCAGCTGCCTCTTCAGAGATCTGGACAATGGAGGGATGTAATGGCGAGGTATTAGGTAGGTGGACATGTTGAACAGGTCCAGGAACACCTTGTAGCGGTCGCTAAAAAAAGATGACAGAAATATGGTTCAATTAAGTGCCATCGCCACATTGAAAGTTGATAGCAACGAATCTCCAAAATGCTGAATTTTGTCCAGGATGTTCATCAATCTCTGGGTATTATCTTCCACTTGTATAACTTTTGGTCTCTTTCTCTCTTGCATTTAACTTTTTCTTCCCCTAAAGGGTTTTTATGAGAGTGCTGTGACCTCTAATATGTCCAAAATATTTCATTTATGTCTCTCTTTTTTTTCCATCAATTTTCTTTTAATTTCTAGTCTTTTCAGCTCTTCAGAAATTCTGTCTTTCGTGGAATATTACCTATTCTTCTGTAAATCCATTTCCCCTGAAATTTATTCTATGTTGTTGTTGTTATACCGTTGCTAACTTTTAGGTATTAAGTGGTGACATCCCAGTGTCTTCCATGATAGCCAGCCATGTTCTCTATTGTGTCCCGAACATGTCTCATGTGTGCCACACAATCTGCTTACTTGCTGTAAAAGCCGTTAATTTATGCAGATTCTTTTGCTTTTTTCAAATCACAACCTAACCTGACAGTTGAGTGAATATAATTAAACAACTTAGCCTGAGTGTTTACAACAATATGCAACCTAACCTGACAGTTGAGTGAATGTAATAAAACAACTTAGCCTGAGTGTTTACAACAAGATGCAACCTAACCTGACAGTTGAGTGAATGTAATAAAACAACTTAGCCTGAGTGTTTACAACAATATGCAACCTAACCTGACAGTTGAGTGAATGTAATAAAACACAATTAGACCAGACAGTTAAGTAACTGTAATAAAACATGACCTGGCCTGGTAGTTGAGTGAATGTAATAAAACAGTTTAACATTTGAGGCAATGTAATAAAATCATCTAAAAGTTGAGTGAATGTAATAAAACTGTCCAACAGTTGAATGTATTAAATCATGACCTCACCTGACAGTTGAGCGCAGATACTGGTAGCCTGAAGATCCGCCAGTGCCAACTTTGCTACCGATCATTCGCTGGACCATCATAACATGGTTGTCTGTGTGTCATCGAAATTGATCAAAAGTTATCATAAACAGGTCAAACTCACTGCTCAAAAACATACTAGCAAAGAGAATAACAATACTTAACAGTTTTGTGTGCTCAGGAAAAAAGCTGAAGTTCTGTTGCGATTGGTGTGCAAAGTGGTACTGTGGTTAATGTTGGTACTGTTGTGGTTGATGTTGTGGTTTGTGTACATACTTTAGGTCACCCATTTAGATCTATCAACTAATGTTTTAGTTCATTCGTTTAATTCCATCAACCAATGTTTAAGTTCACTCATTTAGTTCCATCAACCAATGTTTTAGTTCACTCATTTAATTCCATCAACCAGTGTTTTAGTTTGTCCACTTAGTTCCATCATCACACTAACTAACTCACAGACTGACACTCCCTTTGGGTGGAAGTAAATTTACACATAAGCAGGAAAACCCCCTACTTCTTTTTTACCAGATGACTTCCATACTTGTTTTGCTTCCATGGGTTAAAATTCCAAATTTTAACATTTTTCATATATTAACATCTCCAGGAAATAACCATGAATAATAATGTGCAAAAACTGAAGAATAAAGACGTGAAGACAATGAATAATAATGTGCAAAACTGAAGAATAAAGACAGAAGACAATGAATAATAATGTGCAAAACTGAAGAATAAAGACAGAAGACAATGAATAATAATGTGCAAAACTGAAGAATAAAGACAGAAGACAATGAATAATAATGTGCAAAACTGAAGAATAAAGACAGAAGACAATGAATAATAATGTGCAAAACTGAAGAATAAAGACAGAAGACAATGAATAATAATGTGCAAAACTGAAGAATAAAGACAGAAGACAATGAATAATAATGTGCAAAACTGAAGAATAAAGACAGAAGACAATGAATAATAATGTGCAAAACTGAAGAATAAAGACAGAAGACAATGAATAATAATGTGCAAAACTAAAGAATAAAGACAGAAGACAATGAATAATAATGTGCAAAACTAAAGAATAAAGACAGAAGACAATGAATAATAATGTGCAAAACTGAAGAATAAAGACAGAAGACAATGAATAATAATGTGCAAAACTGAAGAATAAAGACAGAAGACAATGAATAATAATGTGCAAAACTGAAGAATAAAGACAGAAGACAATGAATAATAATGTGCAAAACTGAAGAACAAAGACAGAAGACAATGAATAATAATGTGCAACACTGAAGAATAAAGACAGAAGACAATGAATAATAATGTGCAAAACTGAAGAACAAAGACACTGAAGACTGTGTTCAGACAGTGAAGAATAATGTGAAGTCAGTAAAGATAATGTGTAGACACATAGTAATAATTTTATGACAGTTAATAATAATAATGTACCAACAGTGGACAATAACAAGCAAACAGTGAATAATAATTTGCAGACAGTCAAGAATAATGTGCAGAAAGTGAAGATATTGTCTTTATTATTAATATTTGTATTTTATATAAGTAATGAAATAAATGTACCTCTTGCCACAGAAGAGTTATATTGCTCCTCATCCAAGATGCTTTCAAAACTCTCCTGTCATAGAAGTACAAATATGAAAATAAAAAAAAATTAAAATATCAAATATACCTGCAAAACAGAACAAATAAAATATATTCATCATTATCAACAGCCTTGCCTAACAATGTGAGTGATCAAACTCCTCTACAAAGATGTGCCTTGTTTTTATATGAGTGACTGCTGAACATTTTTCATGCCATTCTATCAGAACGCTCAACTATGTTTCCTTCAGTTGATCCCTTATCTTCAACAATTTTAGTGTTCCAAATTGTCAGTCCTCTAGACTCTGCTGTCTCTTGTCTTCTTCGTCTTCTTGGTATTCATCGGCTATAAACTTCAGGGGAAAGTTCTGGTTGTTTGTCCACTTCTGGACTTAAATCTTGTTCGACAACCTGAGATTTGCAAACACATCCATTTTACAGATTTGGCTTATTTCTATGCAGACTGGTGATTCCTCTCCTCTCAGATAGATGCACTCTGACTTTGAAGAAAACACCCTTAACTAGTGAACTGTCTACATCTTGCTTGTTAGGGGACAGTAGTTCGCCACAATAGGACCCTGGAAATAATGGGTGGGTGGGGGCTCACAGATCAAGACATACAGAATCAAACCCAGCACAATGAAACTGATCCTCTAGATCAGTAGTTCCCAAAAAAGGATCAGACCAAGCAATGAGATTGGTGAATAGACATGTCTTGCCTATGCCATCTGGCGAGGCACTTGTTGAAAAAGACAATGGATCACGATGACTTTAATGCGTGCCTGTGTATACAACTGAAAACCTGACAAAAATATGAAAAGTACAGCTGAATTAACCAAACAAAGTAGACAAGGCAGAAATCAAGAACATACAGTGGTATCTTGGTATTCTAATTGTTCTGTGTTTGGAATATGACACATGTGCTAAAGATGGATGCATTCTCTTTAGGCTTGGAGGAGAAGGATGAGAAAAAGGAAGCCCCTCCTTCATTAATCAAGGAAACGTTTGCCAAATGGATGGATTTTAAAACACTTTGCAGAGAAGTATCACCCCAACAAAACCCAAACAAGCACTGTCTGGAATCACCAGAATACATGTCCTAAATCCTAGTAGGTAAACTCAACATATTTTTTTTTTTAGTGAAAGACAAAACATGGTCTCAATGATCCTAGTAGGTACTCAATCTTCTCAATGCCATCCTAGTAGGTACTCAACCTTCTCAATGCCATCCTAGTAGGTACTCAACCTTCTCAATGCCATCCTAGTAGGCACTCAACCTTCTCAATGCCATCCTAGTTGGCACTCAACCTTCTCAATGCCATCCTAGGCACTCAACCTTCTCAATGCCATCCTAGTTGGCACTCAATCTTCTCAGGTAAGTAGAGTGATGTTACATTTTTTATTTACTTTATCTAGTTGCCTGTGTATGTATTTGTTTATTTATTTTCGATTAAGCAGTATTTAAATTGTTTTATTCAACCCCATCAATGTATAATATGCAGCAACAAAAGGATTTTTTCATGAGAACAGAATTAATCATTCTCCCATTACTTTTTTAATGGAAAAATGTGTTCAGTATATATCCTGTTCAGTATACATCCAAGGATCCGGAACAGATTAAGGACATATATGAAGGTGCCACTGTATATAAGTTTTAAAAAACAACACTGACATTTAATTATTTCAGTAAAATATTACACCTGCTGTTTTTTATATTCTGCAAGTAGAGTTTCCTTGACTTTTTCATCTGTTTCTTTCTGAAAACAGAGTGAAATAAATTTAAAATAATCATATTGAAATACTACAAGCTACATGAACATGGCATACAGCTGAAAGACTGAATTTTAACTTATAATTTTAATGAGTCAACATCTGTAGCTCGAAGATTATGACTGCAGTTTCAAAATTAAGATTTGCAAAGCTTCAAAGTCAGTCTGTGATTGGTGGCCGACTGTTTTACATTTTGTGACAATGATATGAGCATAAATCATCCAGAGTGAAATGGCCAGTCAGCTAATCTAAAATTTCCAAGTAAACTGACAAACAGCAAAAATGCTACGGTTGGTTTTGACATACTTAATACTTTCAGTACTAAGCATCTCATGGCACATTCCTGTCTTCTTCTTCTTCTTCTTGCATTCATTAGCTGTAAACTCCTGCAGATAAGTTCTGGTGGTTCGTCCACTTTTGGACTCTAGCTCTATTACAGAACCTGACTATTGCATCACATCTGTTTTACAAATTCAACTCATTTGTATGTAGACTGTTTGTGACTTGTTTCCAACAGATGCACTCTGATTCTGAAGGAAGCTTCCAATTAGTCAACTCTTACGACAAGCTTGTTGGGTAGTCAGTGGGTCTATTCTTGTTTTCTTGTGTCCTGTCTGATTGTTAGATTAACCAAGTCTCCAACAGGAAGCAGCAAGTAATCAAATTTATAACATGGCTTTATCTAAATATTAAACAACTGGAAACTAACACACAACATATGCTAACATTCCGCTAAAGCCCCCCCCCCCTCTCCCCAAAAACATAGGGCAGAGGTCATGACTCTCCATGCATGGCGGTTCGTTGCAATCCGTTGTAGGTCTTGGATGTTTGAGTGGCCCATGAGCGAGCCTTCCCTGATGATAGTTCTACGTAGAGTTTCCCTTGGTCTTCCACGAGATCTTTTCCCCTGTGGTGTCCAAATGAGGGCTTGGTAAGGAAGTCTTGATTTATCCATTCTAAGGGCGTGGCCGACATAGTTCCAGCGGCGTTTTCGTATAAAATTAGACACATACTCTTGCCTGGATTCTTGCCTTATTTGTGTATTTGTTAGGAAATCTGACCATTTGAAATTTAGTATTCTTCTAAGGCATTTATTTTCAAAACTGTCTAATTTTGTGTCTAGAGTTTTCGCACATTTGGTAGGCATCATTTTTTTTTTCTTAAAAGCTGCAGCAATTATCAATTGTGCAATCAGCACCATTTTTAGACACTTTGTAGTGGGTATTGGCACCATTTTTTCTAGAAAATAGAAACGACCTGACTAAAAGTATAATTAAACTTTTTTTTAATGACCTGAGCTGGAATCAAAAGCATATCCTGAAGCCATCTTTGAACAGATCTTTTGTAAAGGTCCCAAAAGTGAAAAGATTTTACAGCCAAACCAGGAGTTCTTTCCAGCCATTTCTGAGGATAAACAACACAGAAAATAACAGCAGGGGAGAGAATATCATTAAACATATTACATTAGAGTAAGCTTTCCATACTTTTCTTGCAACCTGATATTTTTATCTTAAAGTTAATTATGCTTGTGTGCATGTCATTTACCCTTTTTTACATCTAATATCTGCTAGGTTAGACAGCTTTACTTGTATTCCCTGATGTAAAAGCAGATTAAGTAAAAATTTAGTTCTTCCTGTGCCAGGGATTTTCAGTCGATCTTGCCTCAGAAGTCCAATTTCTATGACAATCAGGTTCATGCACAAGAGATTCAAGATTGGGGATTCAGATTGCACCAAAGAATACAGAACACATGCTACAAACATGCTCTCTACATTCAACAGGGAAATCCCAGGTTTGGCCGGGAAGCACTCCAATGGAAACCCAGTTGTATGGAACAGTGAAAGACACGTATCGCACCACAGACTTTATAGAAGCCTGTGGCCTCTTCATCTGAAAATCACTGGCAGGTAGAATCAAAAGAAGATTCTCGAATACTAAGCATATATTGCTAGGTCAGTTTTGTATGTATTTATGTTGTTTAACCTCACCAGGCTAAGCTCAGCATGTAGTAAATACAACATGAAGATCAATGTAAACAAAACTGAAACAATGCAAGTTAGTAGAACCCCTGCTCCACTACACATACAGCTAAATGGTTCTGCCCTGAGTCAAGTTAGGGTGTTTAAATATCTAGGAAGTATGATCACAGAAGATGGTAGAATTGACAGAGAAATAGAAACCAGATGTCAGAAAGCAAGTGTACTTATATACAAATTGTCACCATTATTAAGACATCCAAGCATAACTATGAGTGCAAAGAGACAGATTATTAATAGCATATTCATTCCAACATTGAGCTACCAGTGCCAAACATGGACACTATCTAAAGTCCATATACGCAAAATCACCACCTGCGAGATAAGGTGCCTGAGAAAAGCAGCCAACCTAACCATACGAGATCAAGTGAATAATGAAACTATCAGGCAAATTGTGGGAATGACACCTTGTACTAGATTCATCAAGAAACAGCAGATCAAGGGGTTTGGTCATCTCGTTAGAATGCAAGATCAAATACCATCACAAGCACTACATCTCAGAAGATCAACTACAAGAGCAAGAGGATGGCAGCGGAAAACATGGATTGACAACATTAAAGACATTCTACACCTTCACAGCATGACAATAGCCAGTGGCAGCCAACGTGCACTGGATCGCAAATTATTCCTCCCTAAGACGCTTAACGACAGAAGTGGTTTATGATGATGATGATGATGATGAACCCCACCAGGACTGTACAGCAAGCGACCAACACCCGGCGACATAAAGTGCCACTATTCAGATAAGGATCACCCGGGCACAAGTCCCAGAAACCCTGTTTAAGCATTATGTTATATTAGGGTCCCCGACTAAAGCCGGGGTGGAGCTAATTTAATCTTTTTTATAATTAAAGGCACATCATGTACAGAAAAGGTGCAATGTGTATCTTCTTCTTAAAGTCCATGCTGTGTGGCTATATTAGTCACATGTCTAACCACAAGCTTCTGTCTTGTGTACTTTCAATCAATTCTGACACAGATGACCTTTCATGCTATGATGTCAAACTGCTCAGTATCTTCTCTCTCTGTGTCTCTCTTCCTCTTTCACATCATCACAATGTACTCCAGTTTTTTCCCTTTCATGATATGACCAAAGACGTAACCACATGTACACAAAATTCAAGATAGGTGTATTAGCCATGTGCACCTGTGGAAATGACAGCAGAGCATGTATTCCAGGACTGCACCGATTTTGACACATTAAGGCAAACCTTTTGGCCAGAAAGAACAACAGTGGAACGTAAACTCTATGGACCACTGAATGAACTAACAATGACAGTGAAATTTATACAAGAGACAAAACTGCTGATATAGACAACTTATTTCAGGCGAACGAAAGAAGAAGAAGAAGAAGAATGACCAAAGAATGTAGACTGTCTCCTAGACATGACTACCAATGTCATATGACATGGACCATGAGAAGAGAAAGGAGACAAGATTACACACATATCTCGTGGCAAGCAAGGGTTCTTCCTACACAGTTCCACTGAGGTAAATACCTCATATGCAAATTTACATTCCTTCCTGATCACCTAAGTGTCTGAAGCAAAATATATTTTTTTTTCAGGGTGGGCAGCCAACTTCCTCCACTTGCACCCAGGCTTGGGACTGGCAATGGTGTAGATGGGATCAAATGGAATGAATTTCAGAACAGTGAATAAATAAGAAAAATGTCTGGGGAACCATTAGTATCAGCAGTTTTAAGACAGAGAAGATGGTGCTATACTGAACACATTCTGTGAAGAGACAAACCATCACCAAACAACCACTAAAATGGAAAATAGATGCACTTAGGAAACAAGTACATCCAAGAGTAATAGAAAGGTGAACGCTGATGAGAGAGGCCAAAGATGCAGGACTGGATTTAATCCATGATAATGAGGTCATTGCACAGGGTAGAATGGAATGAAGAAATAAACTGTGGGCCCTATATGACATAATCTAGCATAACAATACCCTATATGACATAAACTAGCACAACAATACCCTATGTGACATAATCTAGTACAACAACACCCTATATGACATAAACTAGCACAACAATACCCTATATGACATAAACTAGCACAATACCCTATATGACATAATCTAGTACAACAACACCCTATGTGACATAATCTAGCATAACAATACCCTATATGACATAAACTAGCACAACAACACCCTATGTGACATAATCTAGTACAACAACACCCTATATGACATAAACTAGCACAACAACACCCTATGTGACATAAACTAGCACAACAACACCCTATGTGACATAAACTAGCACAACAACACCCTATGTGACATAAACTAGCACAACAACACCCTATATGACATAAACTAGCAGACATAAACTAGCACAACAACACCCTATATGACATAAACTAGCACAACAACACCCTATGTGACATAAACTAGCACAACAATACCCTATATGACATAATCTAGCACAACAACACCCTATATGACATAAACTAGCATAACAACACCCTATATGATATAAACTAGCACAACAACACCCTATATGACATAATCTAGCATAACAATACCCTATATGACATAATCTAGCACAACAATACCCTATATGACATAATCTAGCATAACAATACCCTATATGATATAAACTAGCACAACTACACCCTATATGACATAATCTAGCATAACAATACCCTATATGACATAATCTAGCACAACAATACCCTATATGACATAATCTAGCACAACAAAACCCTATATGATATAAACTAGCACAACAACACCCTATATGACATAAACTAGCACAACAACACCCTATATGACATAAACTAGCAAAACAAAACCCTATGTGACATAATCTAGCAAAACAAAACCCTAAATGACATAAACTAGCACAACAATAAAGTGAATGACTGACCCACATAAGATTTTTTTATTCCATCACCACAATGGAGGACAATGTGGTGGATACATGCATTTACTGACCATTATCTACAGGAATATTATATTAGGAGCTCTGAGGCCCAATCTCTTCCACGGTTTGATTCTCAAACCACTGTCCAAATATGATGAGAATAGTCTTTTATCATTTATTAAACGAAAAACAAGTTCATGTGAAAGAAGCAGAAATTATGAAACACACTAGACAACAAAGAATTACCAAATGAATTATATGAATGTTCTTACCTCCAAAAGCTCAAACAGTGAGGGCTCTTCTATAGAATCCTGTAACATTTTCACTTGCTCCGGTGCGGAGAATACTTTAGCATAGTGCTGCTGATTGTACTTCACTCTGGATGACTGCAGAAGAAACAAAGTAAACAACATCATAGCTGAATCTCCCAGTGTAGGTTTTGGGGCCCATTTGGGTGGGGGAGGGGGTGGTGGATAGACTGACTGAACCCTAAGCATGCTAATAAAGCCAACTATTTAGAAGTTTGATGAAATTGGGCCAAAAGGTGCAGGTATCGCAGCCTTGCTGTAAATCATAATACAGTGGGCCAACCGCTCTTTCAAGGGTGAATCCAGAAGATAACTAAATCAATTCCTGGACTGTTTTCTTTTCATTGATTCGCTTATCTTTTTATTACATCATAATACACTGGGAATACCTAAAGATGCCTTGTCTCCCATAGGAAATCAATAAAGGTATGATTACTGATCATTCCAGTAGGACACTAAAAACACTTTCTACTTTTCCTCTCATACATCTCTTTTTGCCAGACAAATATTTACCCTGACATTTACACATCCCTACATTTGTTGCTACATCTAATTTTGTCTTCAGTTAGCATTCATTCATAGTTAGATCTAACGTTGTGTCTTGAGTTAGCATTCATTCATAGTTAGATCTAACATTGTGTCTTGAGTTAGCATTCATTCATAGTTAGATCATTCATAGTTAGATCTAACGTTTGTGTCTTGAGTTAGCATTCATTCATAGTTAGATTCATCTAACGTTGTGTCTTCAGTTAGCATTCATTCATAGTTAGATCTACGTTGTGCATTCATTCATAGTTAGATCTAACGTTGTGTCTTGAGTTAGCATTCATTCATAGTTAGATCTAACGTTGTGTCTTGAGTTAGCATTCATTCATAGTTAGATCTAACGTTGTGTCTTCAGTTAGCATTCATTCATAGTTAGATCTAACATTGTGTCTTCAGTTAGCATTCATTCATAGTTAGATCTAACATTGTGTCTTCAGTTAGCATTCATTCATAGTTAGATCTAACGTTGTGTCTTGAGTTAGCATTCATTCATAGTTAGATCTAACATCGTTCTTGAGTTAGCATTCATTCAAAGTTACATCTAACATTGTCTCTTCAGTTAGCATTCATTCAAAGTTACATCTAACATTGTCTCTTCAGTTAGCATTCATTCATAGTTACATCTAACATTGTGTCTTGAGTTAGCATTCATTCAAAGTTACATCTAACATTGTCTCTTCAGTTAGCATTCATTCAAAGTTACATCTAACATTGTGTCTTCAGTTAGCATTCATTCAAAGTTACATCTAACATTGTCTCTTCAGTTAGCATTCATTCATTCATTCATTCATAGTTACATCTAACAGTTACATCTAACATTGTCTCTTCAGTTAGCATTCATTCATAGTTACATCTAACATTGTCTCTTCAGTTAGCATTCATTCATTGTTAGATCTAACATTGTCTCTTCAGTTAGCATTCATTCATAGTTAGATTTTACATTGGGTCTTCAGTTAGCATTCATTCATAGTTAGATCTAACATTGTGTCTTCAGTTTACATTCATTCATAGTTAGATCTAACAAACAAGGTTCCAGCTCTATAAGCATAATTTTATGTTATCACAGTCAACACATTTTCCATGCGTGCTCAGTGCTCTGATGCAGAAGCCACTCCAAGGTACCTCGACTGATTCTTCCCATAAGGAGCTGGTTATTATGTTTCCTATTTCAACCTCAAAGCCGGCACAGACATGCTTGAACTCGCTTTACCTGCTATGCAATCATGTTAGTGCCTAACACACCAAGGGTATAAAAATAATCCTTCAATTTTACTTTAATTACTTGAAGAAAAAAAAAAACGCTGCATCTTCTTGTTCCATGCTGAAAAGCAAGAGCAATCATGGTTGATTATCCCACATGATACTAACATACAAAGATACATAGATGAAATAAATGCAATTATATTGTGTGTTCCATTTTTTTTTTAAAACCTTCAACCTCTAACAGAGTACTCTGCACTTGCTGCAAGCCTTTCTAGCCATTTTCCTAGGCATTTCAATCAGCTCAGTTCAGCCTTATACCTCTCTATAATTCTAATTCCGCAGTATGGTAGAAATAAAATAGTGGAAGGTGACAGTCATCATGAAGTGACCCACTAACCTCCAGAACACCCATTTTGTTCTCCAGCAGACGGAATTGCAAACTTTGGAATCCTGAGGCTGTCGACAACTGTAACCTGGAGGTAACAAACCAAATGTAGATTTGATTTAGAATAGTGGACATAACAAAAAATTTAGTGAATCAAACAAGTACGAGAATTGAAATATCTAGGTAGCATATTTACAGAGCATGACAGACTTGACAGAGAGATAGAAGCTAGAGTACAGAAGGAAAATGGTGTCAACTACCAGCCCTACAGCTTAGACACCCAAGTGTCTCTCTTCCAGCAAAACAGCAAATGATTGATAGCATCTTCATCCATACTTTATGCTATTAGTGCCAGATATGGTCAATAAATACGGCACAAGAACAGAAAAATGTAAAATGTGCTGTCTGCATAAGGTCATTAGTAACACAAGAAGGGACAGGGTTACAAATATCAGCATTAGAGAGAAAGTGGAATGAGACCATGTCTGAATTTTGTCAGACAAAGAAGGAAATGGTTCGGCCATTTAGTGAAAATGCAGTCAGACCAAACTAAATATGAGACTCTTTACAGCAAAACATCTGGGAGAAGCATTAGGGGAAGACCAAGAATCAAATAAATGATGTAGATGAAATCTGCATAAAAGATGAACAAATCCATCACCCAAGCCACCTGAGAAACACAAGATACATACAGAAAAAAACACTGGGCTACAACCTGGTATCAATGAGATGGCAAAAGAAGAAGATAAAGAATAAAAATATTGCAAATTAATCGCAAACTACCAGGAAAAAATATCAGCATCATGTTCCACACTGATAAGCTTGACTGATCCTAGTTGATTATCTGACACAATCACAGCATAAATCACGCCTGGTTCTGTCCCAGTTTTGCATGTGACAAATTTTCAGATAATCTTTTTTTTTAATATTCCTGTAATTCTCTTTGTTTTATTTACTCCCTTTGAATTTTGAGTAGTAGGTTGAATTTGTACTGGAAAAGGTCAAAACAAACACAATTGACTCTATGACATTTCTCATGCTAAAAATCCCTCAGAAATTAGAAACAAGATACAAAACAAAAACAAAAAAGAAACATTCAATGTCTAAGCTCACCCCAAAAAATTATTAGTTGAAGACTGACTTCACCACACTCTGTACCCTCCCATAACTGCTTAATTCCTATCTTCAGTAGCCAGCAAAAAATTTGGATTGTGCCAGTAGCAGTTTGATCTCACCTTTCCTCTGAGTGTAGAGTGTTGACCAGATCCCCTGACCAGATCCCCTGACCAGATCCCCTGACCAGATCCCCTGACCAGATCCCCTGACCGGATCCCCTGATCACTCCGAGCTGTAACATTCTATTCGTGCCTGCACATTATTTAGTTAATCCCAAAAGGCCTTGACTATATCTAGCTTGTCAGGCATAACTTCACCATTCACTGGTGCAAAACCAGCCAGTCTGTGTACCTATTCATTTCCCAGCACTTCTGCATACCCCAGAAAAAGTATCCAAATAAAAGATTATATAATTTGAGTTTTCAGACTGTGTTAGCGCAGTCAATAGAAGACTTGTTTTCAAATCCAGCTGCGACTCGCTGCAGCCCATGGCTGATGTTTGAAACCCGGCGGTTCCTGGGCTTCACCCAGCCTCTAGGTAATAGGTACAAGAGTTAACACTCTGGGGTAAATGGAGGTACATAGCTGTGTGACAAAGTTGTATCTTTCACATCCCCCAAGAATGGATGTGCCTAATTCGGACAAAGTGTGTTATGGATACAGTTCGTAGCTCTCTTGATCGTACACAACAACACGCCAGTGATGTAACAAACCATTACAGATCTGGTTGTTTATTTCCACAATATTGTCAAGTCAAACAGTATGAATCATTTCATTAACCAATAGTATAGGAACACTTCATTATCTTATTACTGGCTATTCATATGTATCTCTATGAGTTCCTTAAATCACTGTTCTAACTAAACTCAAGTTTCATATATTTTCTCACGAAGTTTTCTCAACTGCCCTCTCAAGCATCTTGGCCTTCACTGTCTTCTCTCTCTTCTCTCCTCCGCTCTTCACCCCCACTTACTCTCTCTTCTCTGCGTGGGTTCTCAATCGCCCCCTGTCACCCGTCACTGGTGGTCACGTTTGGATAAACGCACTCTCTTCAACTGGTCACAGTGCACCTGATTTATCTTTCGCTTTGTCAGGCCAGCGTTCAAATCACCGTTTTCTGTCATGCCAGCCAGTGATGGATTGGCATGCCTTGATGCTGGTCTGAAATGTATGCAATCTTCATTTAACCCCTCTCTCAACCTTTCTATTTCACTTCAGCTGTAGCTAATTAGTTGCGTGCAGACTGCGGCACAGGCGGACAGTTTTTTTATCAGCTGTCCGTACTAGTGGCAGAGCATTTATGGGTTATAACCGTGTGCAGTAACAGTGGTTCACATATCTTGACTTTACCTTTACAAATATATTTGACAAAAAATCCTCACCCACACAGAACCACAAGCTACATCAGGCTGCTGTAACCATTACGGGTGCCACAATTACAACATTGTTGGAGGTTTAATGGAGTATCTGGAGTTTGGACTGTTGACTTGTCATGCATAATGTGATTATAGAAATTTTATGGTGGTAATAATGTCAGGGAACAGCAAGAGGGGGGAAAATGGACATACTGATTCTGGCCATTAATTTGCATGATCTGAACGCCAAGGAGAACTGGCTTATCAACTGCATCCTGTTCTGATAGCTGAGGAATTCTGGCCATGTTAAACGCCATGTTGGCTTGGGGATAGCAGTGAAAGAGGGTACAGTTTTTGGAATACAAGGCAGAGGCAGACCTCTGCAAATGTGGACACAAGACACCGAAGAAGCATCAGTTTTGAAAGCGCATAGGGCTGGAGAATTGGATAGAGAAAGAGAGATTTTCAGGCATGTCGAGCAGTGTTCTGTAAAAGACCTGCTGAACGATGATGAGGAGTTTCAGGAGTCGCCGGCGGAGTGGCTAAACGCTCGCCTGCAGATCGGAAGGTCGTGGATTGGCTTCCTGGTGAAGCCGGACTTTTTTTTCCCCTTAAAAAAATGACCTTAATCTCAGGTTGACCTAGCCTTGGGTGAGTACCAGGTGCAGACCTGGAAAGTAAAGGCGGCCAGCATGATGCTGACTACATCTCCCATCTTGTGCTGATTGGTCTATAAAATATAGGTCTAGCCCTATATGCCGAAAGGCGTGGAAAAGGGTCCTTCCCTTTAACTTTTACTTTACACACAGTTTCTGTACTGTCACAATCACTTTGATGTTTTTCTAGGGGAAAAAAATATATGACTTACCTGAATTCTAGGAAATCCAATGGGGTCATAGTCTCCAGTATATCTATCTGATCCACCATCAGCTGGAAAGAACAAAAAAACTATCATAATGTACAGCTCAACAGAAATCTGGCATATATTATAGACAGGCAAAATGATGCAACACATGTAGAAGTGTTCACTAATTTAGGAGTTTTAAAAAAGTTCATGCGATCATTCAAATATATTAATTAGATACAGAGATTAATTACTCTGCAGAAATTCATGCCAGAGGGAATGCTTTCCAAAAATTACTGCCATAGTTTTCAGACGTTAGTATGAGAGTTACGCCTAAAAGAAATAAAGGCCTCAGATTGTAATATTCCTGAAGACATCAATGTTATTGTTGTTGTTGTTATTTATCCAGCGGTGCATGAGCTTTTGCCCTTTGGCCCAATGCCATGTAGTGGAATTTTCATGTTTTCACAAGCTGTTCTTTTCCTTCGTTCAAGGTGTTCCACCTGTCTGGTCTTGGAGGGAATAGCATTCTTCTAGTTTTGTTGACGTTGAAGACATCAATAGGTACACTGTATTGGCATTCAATTAAATTAAAATGAAGCTTGCAAAATGAAGCCGGTTTCACTGAGCTGGTAACATCAAAACATGAAATGGAAAAAAAAAATTAGCTAATAGGGGTAGAGGACAGCCATGTCACACTTGTCTGTAACCTGCTGTCTTGTGCAGGTTAAGTTGTGTAAATATTACATCACTTCCTGTCTCAGAACTGTTGTTTATAATCGTCATATGTCTGGCTGAGTTCATTCTTGTCTACAATTTAACTTTAACCCAAGACCTTTATTGTAATGGAAACCTTGTCTGTAATTTTAACCCAGGAACTGAATATTAATGCAATCACTGTCTGCAACTGAACATTATCATCATCAGCTTCCACTTCTGACACTTAGCATTGTGGGGAGAAACATTCTGCAATCCATTGGATGGCTATTGTCATTCCGTGTCGATGTAGAAGCTCTTTGATGTCATCAATCCATATTTTCCTAGGGCGGCCTCCTCTTGCTTTCACTTCAGATCCTTTCATGTGTAACGTCTGCACTGCAATTGAATATTAACCCCAAAACTTAATATTAGAGTCATACATATATCTGACCTTGAGAATGAGGGTCACTCGACTCAGTCTGTTGAGAATTAACAACGTTTTACTCTCGTCCATGACCTGGAGGAAAATCATTAACAGCAAGATTTAGTTTAATTAACAATGTGATTTAGTTTAATTAACAATGTGATTTAGTTTAATTAACAATGTGATTTAGTTTAATTAACAATGTGATTTAGTTTAATTAACAATGTGATTTAGTTTAATTAACAATGTGATTTAGTTTAATTAACAATGTGATTTAGTTTTAATTAACAATATGATTTAGTTTAATTAACAAATGTGATTTAGTTTAATTAACAATGTGATTTAGTTTAATTAACAATGTGATTTAGTTTAATTAACAATGTGATTTAGTTTAATTAACAATGTGATTTAGTTTAATTAACAATGTGATTTAGTTTAATCAACAATGTGATTTAGTTTAATTAACAATGTGATTTAGTTTAATTAACAATGTGATTTAGTTTAAATAACAATGTGATTTAGTTTAATTAACAATGTGATTTAGTTTAATTAACAATGTGATTTACTTTAATTAACAATGTGATTTAGTTTAATTAACAATGTGATTTAGTTTAATTAACAACAGGATTTAGTTTAATTAACAATGTGATTTAGTTTAATTAACAATGTGATTTAGTTTAATTAACAATGTGATTTAGTTTAATTAACAACAGGATTTAGTTTAATTAACAGCAAAATTTAGTTTAATTAACAACAGGATTTAGTTTAATGAACAGCAAGATTTAGTTTAATTAACATCAGGATTTAGTTTCATTAAGAGCAAGATTTTATTTAATTAACAACAGGATTTAGTTTAATTAACAACAGGATTCAGTTTCATTAAGAGCAAGGTTTAGTTTAATTAACAACAGGATTTAGTTTAATGAACAGCAAGATTTAATTTAATGAACAGCAAGATTTATTTCAATTAACAACAGGATTTAGTTTAATTAACATCAGTTTCATTAAGAGCAAGATTTAGTATCTTTAAAAACATGATTTACTTTAATTAACAACAGGATTTAGTTCCAATAACAGCAACATTTTTGCATTAACAGCAAGATTTAGTTCAGTAACAGTAAGATTTAGTTTCATTAGCCGCAACTGTAGCTTCATTTTTTGTTCAAATTTCTATCAGGGCAGATATGAAAAATATCCAGCTGCCTGGTTCAGTCCACTTCTAAAAAAGGTAAGAGAAAATTTCCTAATCTATTGAAAGCTGACTGATCAACAAAAATGCAGTGCCAATAATGTCAAGATATGGAAGTGGGGCCTTTACTGTACTTTCAATTCCATGTTTGGAGTAAGTAGCAGTGACTTGCTTGGCAGTCTCAGAGTGGGTTCAGTTTAATGCAGTGGTGTTCCAACCATGAAAACCTTGAAAATACTTGTGTGTCTATTGCAGTGAACTAATGAGCTAACAAACTTAATTTTCAAAGGGTTACAAATCGGGCATGCAGGCCTGTCTTACATTTGGTCCTTCCGAACATTCGTCTTGCAAAATGCAATTATAATTTTATTAGGGCCTTTTTTTCTAGAAAAAAAACGGGGGGGGGGGGGGGGTTATTACAATAGCACTGAATAAATGTTGCCTAAAAAAAAACAAAGTGCTTATTACAGTAGCACTGAACAAATGATGCCTTAAATAAAACAAAGTGCCTATTTTAGTAGCACTGAACAAATGATGCTTAAAAAAAAACACAGAGGCTATTACAGTAGCACTGAACAAATGATATCTGAAAAAGGTGCTGGTACTGAGCACTGTGGCCTACCATCACCACACACACACACACACACACACACACACACACACACACACACACACACACACACACACACACAATGTAAACACATTTTAAAATATTTTCCAAAAAAACAATCTACAAAGCCTGTTTGCAAGGTTTGTGTAGCGACTGTTCTCCTGGCACCTAATAACCATTTTCAGGCAACAAAGATATGAAGTAAAGCATGCATAACAATTGCGTGGATTTTTATTGTGGTATGGGGCGTCGCAGGTCGACCCAGCCTCAAATGGGTACCTGAGGCAAAGACTCATTACCCATCCAGTGCTGATTGGTTGTAAAGATATGGGACACGCTTCCCATATACCCGATGCGCCTAAAGCATGAAAAGGGATCTTTACTTTACTTTTTATACATACAGATTAATAAACACATGTTTTCTTTACTCGGCAGCAGTAGGCTATCTTTTCTCACAGACGTCAATTTCATGAATGATTTGCTTGAACCACAACTCATATACGCTGCAAAGATATAAGAAATTAAACAAGTTTGGCCATTCAGAAAGAATCTTCATCAGCAACATCAGTTAAGTCAAATTTGTGTTATGTGCTATATTTACAGTGTCTACTAATATAATCCATGAACAGTCTGTCCCCATCTTCAGCAGCCAGTGCAGAGTACAACCTTCTAGTGTTACTACTATTCCCAGGTCTGAGTTAATATGCCTGTCCTTGCCTTTCCTCTGAGCGATTAGTATCACCCAGAAATTTTTTGAGGGTTTGGCATGCATTCTTTTGCAGATCGTGGCTTATATAGCCAGACTTAATAATGCAGATGCTGTTTAACATCGTAGGAAATGACTCCCATTAGGAGGGGAGTCAGTAGAAAAAAAAAAAAAAAACAAGGAAAAGAAGAGGGTTGAATTTAATGGGTTGGTTCAGGCCCCCAGGCTGGACCTTGTTTCTATGATGACCATGGGAGAGGATGTAAGATAGTTCTTTACAGGTGCCACCAAGTAACGGCTTTAGCTACCTTCGCATGTCCATGTGTTATATGATGGCGTGGATTCATATCAGAGAAGCAAATCATACTAGTGATCAGGCCAAACCAATGCGATCAAATCCTAGCACACTGTTTTACAACTTTCGGACTTCCACTCATAAACTTGCTGTACTGACAAACATGCATCCTCATACTGGACCTTCCTTGGTCAATAAATATCTTTAGGTTTCGCCACTTCACTGATCCAAAAACTATAAGAGAATGCTGCTCCTCTTTCAAAAGTGGGGTGGCCATCTTTAAACTGGCATTATGACATCACTGTGTTTATCTACACCATAATTAACATCGCGGCGTCTGTGGCTATAGCGTTGCGAGTCTGACTCGTAATCCAACGTACCGCGATCGAAACCTGCGTGGGCTGCGTTAATTTTTATCGTGGTATGGAACGTCGCAGGTCGATCCAGCCTCAAATGGGTACCAGGATGGGCTGTCCTGGGAAAGTAAAGACGGCCGGCGTAATGCTGACCACAATACCCACCGAGTGCCGATTGGTCTGTAAAAATATGAGTGCTCTTCCCATATGCCCGATGCGCCTAAAGGTGTGTAAAGGGATCTTTACTTTTTTTTTTTTTATTAACATAATACGGACAGGTTACAAGACAATGGCATGGTTTTTGTGATTTCTATCGCACTTTTAAAGTTTTCATTTGAAGCTCTTTCGTACAGCGCCAATTTCCTGTGACAGAAGAGTTAAGTTAGTATCCCCTACATACTATAGTGAAAACCAGTTAACACAAATTGCAAGGGACTTGTTTAAAAAATGTGCGCCAAACTAGAACTAATAGTAATACACCCTTGTTGTGTCGAAACTTTTGTTAGTGTTAGCTAACTGTCCTTCTAAAGCTTGTTCATGTTAAGGAAATTTTACTGTATTGGAAGTCAAACATCAACAGAACAATCAGTAACTAGTACCAGACAGATATTACTTAACTTATTCTGTTCTAGAAGTTTAACTAATAAATGTTTAGGCTGGAGTGAATTAAAATAGTAACATCATGTGAGACAAGGTGTTAAAGTTACTATATATATCCCAACTTTAACCCTGAGGGATAAACAGAATATTTTTGAAAAATAGCTAAAAAGGTGTTAAAGTAACACTAACAACAGTGTGGCTTAGGTTAAAAGTTGGATCTGACGTGAAGAAGCAGAAGATTGTTTTGTCAAAAATTATAAACCCCCCCCCCCCCCAAAAAAAATATCAATTTAAATGAGAAGTAGAATTGATTAGCTTCACAATACTGCAATATCAAATGACAAAATGAATGTTGTGAATACAAAGATTTCAAAGCTAATGTTAAAGGTTAAAGTTGAGAGGGCTGATTTCATTGCAACAGTTTTTAATCCAATATGGCTCAGCATCTCTCTGCAGAATGGCTAGCCTCCTGCTAAGAGCGTCACACAGAGCAAGAACTCTGTAGCTCTGGTGACATTCCCTGGGGATCTCCGTAAAAATTGCACTCATGAACCGAACAACACAGCTGTGAAACATACAGACAACTTTCAGACAGTGCAGCCAACGACTTGACCCCTTCGCCGTTGAGACCCCAAGAAAGCCAGTATCAACATATAAAACTCAGTCAGTTGTTTAGTACATGTATGAAAGGGAGACAAAGAACATGTACCCACCCTGATGTGTGACAATAAACAGGTGTTCATCATGGACTGGCTTCTTTTTGATGACACTCTGCATCACTTGACTGCGGAGTATGTTGTCCAGCTGGCAAGAAACCTTCAGTGTTAGTATATTTTAGTTGTTTTGGTATTGCTATTGATGCTACATTTGTCTTCTGCTGCTTCTTAGCATTCACAGGCAGTAAACTCTGGTGAAAAATTCTGGGTGTTCGTCCACTTCTGCACTTTGGTGTTGTTCTAGAACATCAGTTTTACATACACATCCATTTTCCAGATCTGGCTTTTTGTATACAGAATGTTGGTTACTACTCTCTCAGGCATATGCATTCCGACTTCAGTGGAAAAGTACCTATTTAGCTGACTTGTATGACATGCTTGCTGGTGGGGGGGGGGGGCTGCAGTGGGTCTATTCTTGTTTTTGTTTTTTCAGAATAGGGTCCCTGAACCCCCATGTGGATTACTTTTGCCAAACATCACTTTAAGCCAAGCTATTTCCTTGTCTATTTTTATCAAACAACATTAAAAAACTCAAGCTTTTTCCTCAACTACTTTTATCAAACACCATTAAAAAACCCAAGATTTCCATTCAACTACTTTATCAAACACCATTAAAAACCCAAGCTATTCCCTCGACTACTTTTGTCATACACCTTTAAAAAAATTAAGCTGTTTCCCTTAAGTGTGACTGGATGAGCAGGCATATGGACTCCAGTATTAAGAGAGTTTTCATTATATTTTATCATTCTTTCTCAATGTGAGTCCAATCCAACACCAGCTGTTTCCTCTTTCTTGATTCTTTGATTGTAGAAAAGATACCAAACCAACTCACATAAGGGTGGGAAAAAACAACAAGGATCCATGTAAGCACTGCAGTATAAAGCAACTACAGTTTTCACTTTAGACGTCTCATAAAGTAGACATTGCTATATAATCTTCTTCTTCTTCATAGTGTTCACATTCTTAAAACTCCAATGGAAATCTATGCTTATTTGTCCACTTTTGGAATTTAATCTTGTTTCAGAACTTAGGCACATCCGTTGTACAGATCCGGCTTATGAGTATGTGGACTGTGGGCTTCTCGCCTCTCAGGAAAATGCACTCTGACTTCGAAGGGAAAAGCTATAATTAGTCACCATGTACATGCTTGATAGGAAAAGTGGTTTGGTTTTTCCCTCCCAACACTGAGGCTCCCCAAACCAAATGTGGGAGCCTAGAATAATCCGTTGATTAATTAACATAATATAAGGTTTCTTGGCCATGTTTTTGGCCTTCTCAAAGCTTTATAGTAAGAGCATGTTAAATCACACAGAGCAAAGGTACTTCAAAGCTAAAATTGGAGATGTTGTAGATTTTATGTTTTAGACAAACGGATTCAGTATCATGGCCCAAAGGGAGTAAACCCATTAGTGTGCTCGGCTCTGCTACTGACTCTCAAGCCTGAGGTTGGAAGAATCTCAAGACACAGTGAAACGAAAATCCATATCAACCGGGGGGGGATCCTGAAAATACATTGGTGGTCAGAAATTTTCAACTCCAAATTTTGTCCAGGGCAGCACCATTACCTCCCGGCTTAAGCACATTAGGCTACTCTTTTCAAATTTCCAACTGCCAAGGGATGTTTTTACTGTGTGCAAACAAATATACACAAACGTTCCGATCTGAATACTCAGTGACCAGGGGAAAAAATTACTAGAAGTCCACGTAAAAAATTCTAGACCTTCCCCAGGGCATTTTCACCCAGTGACTGAACCCAGGAACCTCCAGCAATCATTGGTGGATGCCATGCCTCAAGGCACCACGCAGCCCCCCCCTACACACCCCATACAATGTTTTCAAATAAAATGCATCTCGTACTTATCCTTCATCTCTTACCATCAAGTTATGAATGATAATTAAGCTCTTTCTCGTTCATTGTCTTTCTTTTGTCCCTTTTATCTCCTGTGATGTCTTGCCATGGACTCCTGCCTACTCTCCTGTTAAAGAAAAGACATGATAATAACTTGGGTTAACTCAGCAGTACCTGGCTTTAGGTATAAAGCTATAAATACTAAAATAAGCTACAAATAAGGGCATCAAAGGCTGCCCAAAGGTCTCTAAATCCCCCCCCCCACCCCCCCCCCCCCTTTCTTCCAGGGCCACACACGTAATTTTCTTTTAACATACTTAATTTTCTTTTAACATACTTTTAAATAAATTTTTTTAAACCTGCAAATTTTTTTTAAAATATAATTTTGCGTATCGTCTGTGAATCGGAAGGTTCAGTTCCTGGCAAAACATAGCCTACTTATTTGTCCCTCTTAAAAATAACTTTGGCTCCCAGGCCGAACCCCCGACCCAGCCTTGCCTTGGATGTGCCGAACCACCGACCCCAAGCAGCCTTGAGGTGTGTACCAGGTACTATACAGGTACCAGGTACAGTCTAGCTTATAGAGAAGTAAAGCGCGTCAGGCGTGATTTTTTTTTTTGCGACCACTCACCTCAAAGAGTGCCAGTTGTCTATCTAGTATAAAATATAGGTTTAGCACTATATTCACCCCTATACACCAGAAGGTGTGGAGATAGTCAATCCTGATTTTTTAAAAAGTCCGCCTCATTGCGGGCTTATGCCCAAAGATTTCGCACCAGCAGGCAAGCGAACTTGAAATTGTTGAAATTTGAATTAAGAACTGAAATTAAAGTCGATTTGTTTAAGTACTTGGGTACCATGATAACGGCGGACGGAAGATGTATTACAGAAATTAAATATAGAATAGCTAAAAAAAAAACCGCAGCATTTTACAAAAAGAAGTAAATTCTATGCAATCTTTCTTTGTAAATGGAGACAAAAAACGTGAATTCTTAAGAGCAGTTGAAATCCTATCCTGACAAAGGGAAGTTAATCATAAAGAGTTGGACGATTTGTGAAAAATTATTTCAAAGCTGTGGAGATGTGGGTTTTATAGACGAATGACGAGAATACTCTAGACATATAAAAAAAAAAGTAATGAAGATGTCCACATACACGCACGCGCGCACGCACGCACGCGCACGCACACACACACACACACACAATGCCCACATCAGGGGACAATCTACATTCTTTGTTAAAGTCATGAGAAGGAGAACAATTGAACATACCGTGGCGGTGAAGAGTTTGGAGGAGACAAAAGAAAAAGGGAGGTAGAGAGAAGTTTCTGGACAGTTCTAACATTCTGGCACGTAAGACCATATGTGTCAGAATTTATCGAAAGTACACGAGACAGAATGTTGTGGATAAACAGGGATTAAACGAAGAAGATAAAACTTATTTTAAACTACCTAGTTAAAGGTTAGTTGCGTATCCTTTACAGGACGTTGCAGAACCAACCCCAACAGCCCCTGGCTGTTGTTTTTTGGTTTTTCTAGGCAAATTTACGGCCAGTAGTTTGCCATTGCTTTCTGGTACATACCCAAAAATAACCCTGACCCCCCTCCCTCTCTCCTTTTCTCACCAGCAAGCAAGTTGCAATTTCCCTCTTGCCTTTTTTCTGCGTGTTGAGTATTGACCCTAAGTAGAATAATCATTTTCAGACTGGCTAAGGTTAAAAGGTCAAGGTTATGTCGAGAGGGAAAGAGTTCATTGCACCCAGTTTTAGTTGTTTCTCAGCTCACATTGTTCGGTTCACCAGTGCGAGTTTTACCCAGATGGCGCCTAGGATAAAAATCCTGTGCACTGCAGATCCACTCTGGCTTTTGCCAGGGGCCGCAATATAGGCAGGCCATCAATATGGCCAATTGTCTGAACGCGGTTTCTGGGACCTCTCCACGGTGATCCTCATCCGCATGGTTTGGGTGGCCACTTTGTGGTTTTTTGTTTATCGACCTTGTCGTTATCTGTCCTAGTGTGTGATGTCCTAGTGGGGTAGAAAGTCAGTCAGTCAGATTCTCTCGCTCTAACCGTATCCTATACGGCAAGGCTGTCCAACTAAGTTTACTCAGGGGCCAACATTTGGATAATGGGGATCGTCACGGGCCAGATGCCAAGTCCCGCGGGCTGCCAGTTAAACAGCCCTGCTATATCGCTCTATCTCTCTCCGCAAAATGTCTTGCCACCTACAGAGAGTGTGGCAAATAAGTTGTACACCGAAAATACATAGGTTCGGGCTCGAAGGCCCATTTATTATCTCTCAAGAATTAATCTCCCCCCCCCCCCCCCCCCCCCCCCTTTTTCCAAGTCGACCCAGCCTAAAATGAATATCAGATTACATCCTGGTAAAGGCGGTGGGTCTGATGTTAACATCGGTTATACGTCCTGGTAAAGGCGGCGGGCATGATGTTAACATCGGTTATACGTCCTGGTAAAGGTGGCAAGCGTGATGTTAACATCGGTCGTCCTGCTAAAGGCGGTGGGGGTGATGTTAACATCAGTTATACGTCCTGGTAAAGGCAGCGGGTGTGATGTTAACACTAGTCATACATCCTGGTAAAAGTGGCTAGGGTGATGTTAACATCGATTTAATCCTCCTGGTGAAGGTGGCGGGAGTGATGTTAACATCGGTCGTCCTGGTGAAGGTGGCGGGCGTGATGTTAACATCGGTTATAGCTCCTGGTGAAGGTGGCGGGGGTGATGTTAACACAGTCATCCAATGCTAGTAGATCTATAAGACCAGCATCATAACGCAATGCACCATTGGCGCCATAAAAGCCCCTAATAAGAAGTTATTCCCCCTCCTCTGGTCAGACTTAGCCGTACGCGGTATGGCACCTTTTTAAAAGGCATTATTTCTTATTATTTTGCTAAAGTAAGAACATTTATGTAGGCATTGGTTGACACATATGAAAGAGTTTGCGTGTGTACGTAATGTGAATTAGATATGCATACACGGATAAGTATGAAAGGACTTGCAAACATGTAGTGTTGTCTGCGTGTATGGATACTCGAGTGCATGTACGCATACACTTAGTTGTGTGCGTCCATATACTCCGGGGACTCATACTCAAAACCATCCCATTACACAGCATGCATACGACCGGTAGGACTCACAACAAGATATGACGGATAGCAAATAGGGAAAACAAGTGACTCGATAATAACAGGACTAGAACA